ATACAATAAATTAATTTTAATTTAAATTTGTGTAATTTTATTTTATCTAGTTCGTTAGCTATAAATTTGACCAAGTAAATTACCGCTTAAGGAACATGAGAAACCTCTTGACACCTTAATATCGCATTAACAATATCTCTATATAACTTAAGATATTGCATTAATTCCTAATAGAATTAATTTTTATACATTTTATTCTAGACTATTGTTTTAAGATAAAATAAAAACATAGAGACACTAACTGAAATTTAATTCTATCTGATCAGTCATTAAGAACAATTTTTTTCAGCTGAAGTTCAATAAGACTGTTGTTATATACCGTAGTTTCGATATATTCATGGTTGCCTTCAGTATGAGTTTTACTTTTCCTTGGCCTTAGCGAGTTGTAAATGAAGTATATTTAATAGCTATTATCAGAAATTAGGAAATGCAATTAGTAGTATTCATAGTCGTTGTTGGTTCCGCTCTTAAATAACTGCTTTAAAAAGGTTTCTCATAATGTTAATACATTAGGATCCATAGCATGTATTGAAGACGCTGCAGGCCACAATTTTTTTTGCAATTTTCATAAGCTGAAGATGTTTACGCTAAAATAAATATCAATTTAGTTTCGAAGCGAATGTGATGTAACGTAAATTGTGTAGCTGAAAGATCTAACCTAAATTTACCATGAATATGTAAGGTGACAATCATAATCGACAGCATATTTAACACCTGCCTAAGCCAAATAGTAAGATGATTGTTGCGGTCTATTAGTATTCTAAGTGAAAAGTCTAATAGCCAATATTTAGGTAAATATACTTTAAATTATACGTAAATCTTTCTAAATTACAGAATGTATATCCTAAGTATTATAAGTTACCCTTGATTGGCAAGTGCAAAGTAGCTTAAAATCATACGATATCGTCTAAGATTGCATGGCATTAATCTATTTATGATGAATAATTAAAATATTTGCCAAGGCAGCAGTGTAAATACTTTGAGATACCATAAAACCAATGAAGATATCTACCTTATGTAGTAATGGGATACTATTATCAGAGTTATATTACCAATTAATGACGTAAGAATTTAAATAATAACTAAGTTCAATATAGTAAATATAATGTATGGAATTTAAATTAAAATACGACAATCACTAGTTAAAGTAGCGAGAAAAAGTTTTCACCTGATACCAAGGTAATATCTTGATAAAAAAAAAATAGTCTAATTTTTAATATTTCAATCTAACGTTAATAAATTCCTTATTAAGGCAATATTATCGTTCCAATTTTAGTACATTATCCTAACATATTTTTATTTCTTAATCACAGTAATCGACTAGTTAGCTTATCATGATATAAGAAGTGGTATATGAGGCCATCCCGTTTATATCAGAGTAAGCGCTATCTTTAAGAACTAGCTACAACGGATTCATATACCGTACCTGCGTTTTTGAATAAATTAAATTATGTATCGCGATTTACTCATACAGTCAATGTAACCTGAGTTATTAGCTACTTCTGAAAAGCTATGGAAGGAGCGTGCCGTTACAAGATCTTTTATTTTGTCTGCGCCATGTGCAGCATGAGATGTAGCCACGTAATTTTAGTTTAGAGTAAGCGATGAGTAAAGGTAATGTTAAATAAATGTTCAAGCCCATCTCCATTTAAACGCTATATCAAAAACCAATATATGTATATCATAGCAAGTCCTATTTCATCGATTTCAATTATAGATTGAGATTTAATTTATCTAGCGTAGTTATGGTAATGTATTCAACATGATATTGCATTTGGTGATCGATGATTACTAAATAGAGAACAACATTTATAACAAATTATAAGCAATTATATAATTGTTACACGTTTATTCTCATTAAAATTTATATATTATTGACGAATGAATGGAGATTAGATTACAGAGAACCAATTTATAGGATAAAATTAAATTTTTTTATGGCGGCTTACAGTATACACATCATTAGGGATATCCAAAACTAGCAAGCTATGTCGATACTGCAAGTACCATTTACAGATAAATAAGTTTGCATAGTGATATTTATTCGATCAATTCAACAAAATTAGAACATGGTCAGGACCAAATTTGAGCTAATTTAGTGCGGTAGCTGAAATATTATTAGCCTTTAAATTACGCCAATTACGATCTTAGAACCTTGAATTTGAAGCACATTCTATGATTAAGCTCAATATTACGTTGATATGTATTTAAACTTACGTAGCATAAGCGCAATATGACAGTATTGTCATGTTTACCAGTCGATAGTGGGACTTTCACTGTGATCTAGCCGAAACAAGTTTGTTACATCACATAAAATTCAGTAATTTCGTTATACTTGTACACACTGTAGCTCGTATAAATATCATTGCTATTTAGAAGTATTATAAACATTATTCACTTCTAAATAAACTACTAATTCGATTTCAGAATAGAAGATCATGCTTGGGAGCTTAGTTATTATTGATAATATTGTTTTATAGACTTCTAAGTTTGCAATCCGGTTCTGTATTCGCAAAGCATCTTACTTATAATGAAGATTATATACTTGGAAAGCCTCTTAAAATCATGTAGCGATTAATTATATCGATGGTATATAAGTCCAATGTTCAAATGTCTACACCGAACTTACGTATAAAACATGAGAACTTTTTGTTGTTCTCTATTATGGCTAGTATTTTTCTATTTCTAGTATTTAGCCATCATAATGAGCTACATTAGGCAGTTAATCTATCTTACGATATTATAGGTTCAAATACGTCAATAATATACTGGCTCAAAGAGCTAAAGGCTGTAACGTAAAAGATATCTTTTATATGTGATCATAAATGATCAGACACATGAACTGATAATATCGAACATAGCTTGTTATGCATTAATTATTGGTAGATAATATGACATATTTAAAATGTAATCGCGGTATAGGTATTTGAATATCAGAAGCTACCAGTATTTGCTAGTAACCCTTCCATAAGCTAAGGCATGAATATCATGAAAGTTGGTTTTGCGACGTATAGTTAAGGCCAATCAGATATTTCTTTAGAGATACAGTTCTCATTTATGGAATGATCGACAAAAATTAGTACATAGCTTACCCAAGCAATCTATTATGGTCATACGTATTAAATCAATTTTGGTATTCCTTTATATTAACTGGACTGTAAATTACTGCTAAATAATATAATTTATATTCCATCTACAGTACGTTAAGATCTTGAAATTCATTTAGTGTACAAACTGTAAATATTATGTGGTATACGTATATATTTAAGTGGTTGCAATACGTTTTCGTATCTAGCCTAAAAAATGCTGTTTCATCTTGTGGTAGTATCCTCAAATCAACAGATTCGATTTTAGATTTATTGTTGTAAGTTAATCTGATAGAGGGTTTTTTTGTTGAATAGAAGGAATAAAAATTACGAAAGAAGCTTCCCTATTATCTAAATTCCAGCAGGACAAATAAAGTACACAGGTATAAGTTTGAAAAGTTTTAATTGTTATAATATCCGCCTTCCTATGAATAATTTAAAAAAATGTTAGCAATATGGTACATCTATTGAATTGGGAAAGAAAGTTTGCTATCTTAGCAACCACTGTAGGACAATATTGTTGGGATATAAAATTTATCAGTTTTGATTATAATAGCTAAATGAATTGTTTATTAATTAAAAAGGATTATTTATTAAATTTTGCTAACTAAGTTAAATATTAACGTTGCTTTTATTCTTGGTTTTACTGTCATTAGAAAGGTATTAGGACTGATTTCAATCTATCGCTTTGAAAAAATATAAGGCGCATTGTTATTCATGGTCTTGCTCTAATTTGGAACGGTAGCGAAGGAAATTTATTGGAGATATTAGGCTTGAAAAATTTCTATATACGAGTCCATATTAGACGTATAACATACGATATATTTCAAGATGAAGAAATCATTAACGCCGATAGATTCTATTGGTCTAACAGTAGAAGCGAAAAAAGAGCGAGATGGTGAAAAAATTCCAATTGTCACCAAATCGCTCAGTGATGTTCGAGTTCATTCAAGTCAGACAGATCTTCAAAATAATGGTAATAGTAGTAATAGCGGAAGCAATAACGAATCTACAAGTAATAGGGATAACTCTCCAGATGGTTGGCTGCAATCTCCACTATCTCATGGAGAATACTTACCACCATCACCGCGATCCAATTCATTTGCTAGCATCTCTAGCACAGTAACATCTCATATGATCATGGTGGAAACGGCAGAAAATCCAAACTTTATTGCCGATCGTATGGATTCAGTTAGTATTTCCGGAGGAAGTGATTCAGAATTAGTTCGTGATCATCGTCCAAAGCGGCACCTACTTAAATCACAGCAAACTATCGATAACTCATGGTTCGATCAGCCTAATGGTAGTAGCCACAATGTTGGTAATATCAACGTACGTAGCCATTCCACGACAGCAGCACCCACACATGGTTATAGTGGTAGTCATCATGGAAGCCATGGTAGTGCTAGTGGTATCACAGCCGAAATTTATGATTATCGTGTGGGAAGTAGTAATAGTGACATTGGCGGTAATTATACATCGCATCATATTCGATCCAAAGAGTTTTCACATATTCATATCAATAATGGTAGTAACAGTGTATCTTCTCTAGCGACAACTTCTGTTTCTATTCCTAACAATTACAATAACGTTAATACAGTTGCCGATGAAAACCATAATCACGATGGAATCACTTCGCATAATAATGATAAATCGACAGTTGCTTCTACGTCGGATAGGGAAGATTTAGCAGGTTTGCTCGATTATAACAATTATCGAAAAGCTCATTTACCTACGGATCATTTCTGTTTTGGTGATAAAATGGCTCAAATTACTGAATGTATCTTTCTTGGGGACATCCGTTCCGGTCATGACGAACCGTTGTTATGCCGTTTAAATATTGAAAGTATGGTCGATATGTCCAATTTATTACCAGAAGATGTACCTCGCTCAAAAATCCGTGATATTCCTTGTATGTGCCCATCGCCTTACAAGCATACACGCTTACGCTTAAATATACAAGTGCGTGACTCAACTGATGAAGATTTAATGCCTTACCTTGAAGATATTAACAGCTTTATTGAAGCTAATCGCCGCCGTAATAAAAGAGTGTTAATTTTTTGCTATACAGGTAAATCTAGTGCACCAACTGCTGTCATTCAATATTTAATGCATCATAGTAATATGCGCTTACAGCAAGCCCATGAGCATGTTAAACGGCGTTTCCCATCCATAAAAATCAATCAAGGATTTTGGCAAACGTTACAACGTCTAGATGAACGTTTACATTCTACAAGTAACAAGAAATGATAACATTATTTCTTCACAGAATTTTTTGAAATATATTAAAAGCATAACTTACGATATGTATAAAGTATCGTACATTGAAATTAATGTAAACATAGTTATTATCTTAATAACTTATAAATGATGACGTATTGATACTTAATGATAGAAATGGTGATTTTAAAAATAGTGCTGATGAACAATTTCTTAATCCGTAAGAAAAAATATTAAAAAAATGTATAGATAGTTCTTTCAAAGTGAAAGGGAGGACTAATGCTAGTAATTATTGGTTACTGGGATTGATGAATAAATCGCTATTCTAACTTGATCTGTGATTAGTATCTTATTTCTTAATATTACTAAAGTCGTGAAGGAGATATGTTAGTCACTCCAATGCTTGTATGTTAAATTAGAATGAAATGAAATGTTTTATTTCAAAGTGATTCAACATACATTTCTAAAGATTGTATTAATTATAGCTCTCTTTTTTCAACTTATATTTCATAATACCCAATGGTACACTAGCTTGGATGGTGATACAGTACGACTAAATGACTAATCAATATTTTTATGATAAATTCAGTTGCCATTGCAAGAATAATAATCCTACAACAGAATGGTTGAAAGCTGGTTGTTGTTTAGTTTGATTTAAAGTATCATGTACTAGAAAATAATTTCACTTCAATCACTCATTTGACGTTACTAAAATACTTTTTACTACTAGATTGTTTAATGGACGTGAGAACAGATATTTAAATCTTATTTGTTTTGTTATTTCTTGTCGTAACTCATAATCTCATATCCGTATTCATGACTCATATATCGGGACATCCTTTAGCCACTGATATTATAACTGGCTAACTGGATATTAGATTAAAGGAATAAATTTTAATTTTAAGTTGAAAATGCCATTTTATGTTGCCTTGCACTCTAAGATATTGATATAATGTAACTGTAGCTTCTACGGTGGAGACTGATGTAATAAAAGAGTAATAAATACCTGTGATCTAAAATTCGATATGTAAATTGAAGATCTCTAGTTTAGAAATGTATGTCCTGGGTAGTGATAAAAACAGAAAGATACAAATATTCGCATATTGTAAACAGGTCTAATTTTGACCATTATCGCTATGGTATTGAGAGAAAAAATATAAAATTGCATTGATTAATATTCTATGATGCAAATAAAAGAGTATTTCAATGCAGTAACATCTTATGCCATTCTAATTTCATAAGGCAGCTTTGTCAACAGAGGAATAAATTCAATTTAATGTATCCGTATTTATTAAATTTGAAAAAATTGCATCCGGATGCAGAAATCTTAGAAAGAATGAGAAGCACTGTTAAGGCCCAATAAAACAAAGTTCTAATTACTGAAGTAGGAGCAGAGATGATACTGTTTCTTGATGTCCTAGAATGAAATATCTCAATCCTAGTATCTTTATCCTAATATGCGGTTGTCAATATCAATTTTTTTTATAAATTCTATTTTTAATATTTTGATGTTCTTTGTTATATCATTGACTTTGGTTATAATGGCAAATTTGTTAATAATATTATTATTACGGAATAGACACTACATCGTCATCGTTATAAATAAGTAATTCAATAGCTTGGATCTTTATAGAAATAAATAATCATGGACTGTTTGATATCTGCTATCCGCGTTTGTCAATCTATTTTTGACCTTTTTAGAATTGATCTTATTCACATTATTTATTTTAAAATATATTTCTTAGTTTTTGCCATAAAAGGATAGAAAAAGAAAGGGAAATACAAAATGAATCTTGCCTCGATTGATAGTATTTTACTATTTATAGTATAAACTTTTCGTCCTATAGCTGTGACGACAAACCAGTGGGATAATCATGAAATACCATGAAGAAAATTGTTTTTAGGAAACTCATAATAAATAGATGGACGTTCCATAGCTATTCACATAATTTTTGTATATTATCACGATATATTAATGATAGTAGTTCTCAGCATATTATCATATTATGCTTGAATATGATGATTGATACATTTAATATTCTCATTAATCTGTAAATAAATTGAATTTATTCTTAGAATTTGCATCGTATATTAATAGTCTTAGTCACGGACGCGGATATATAGCAAGAAACACTAAGAAAAAATGATCTTTTCCTCGTTGCAGTGGATCTAATTACTTTTAGTATCTGCGACGCGAGTTTCGATAGATTGGTGGATTATAGGTTTAGTATCCGTCAGAATTTAAGATATGGCGTTTTACGAAGAATTAGATTCTTCATTAATATGGATATTATGAGCTTGAAAGTTACTATTATAGATTAGCAATAAGTGATTGTAGAGTAATGCGCATAACTAAGTAGTACTAACAGCTAGAACAATTACAAAAATTGAGATATGAAGTAAAAAGCAGCAATAGATTGGTAGAAAATAGATTTGGTAACCATCAGAGATTGAGACATGGCATTTTACTAAGAAATAGATTCTTTAATTAATATGAATAGTGTAAGCTTGAAAGTTACTACTATAGATTAGAAGTAACAAGTGATTGTGAAGTAATGCGAAAAACAAGGTAGCACTATTAAAACCACTACAATTGAGATATAAAGTAAAAATTAATTAAATCAACGATAGACTGTCAACTGTCAACTATTGATCTCACTAATTTATTAATATTTTATTTACCAAATGTTGCCTAACAGTAAAATAGTATAGCATTTAATATAGTCATATCTACTAGGAAGGTAACAAAACCGTAATGTGTCTACGACTGATTTATTGCACTATTATGGCGCTGAGGACTAAAGGATATCGCAAAACTACCACCGAACGCTGCCACTTATGAAATTGTTGATCTACAACAATCGGAGACTTCCCGTAGTCGTGTTTCTGCTTGTCTCACTATTTTAGCATCTGTTTTAGCCACATATTGATAGTTTCCCTTGGTTGTACTAGTAGTGGTCTCATTAGATTCAGTAATTTTTATTTCTAAAATAAAAGAATAGAGAATGATTAATCCTTAACAGCACGATAGTATTTCAGAAATAATGGAAACTGGAAAGAAAGTAAAATCATAGTGCTAGCTGTGATCTATTAGACCGTCTTGGCACTAGCATTAGAGGTATCACGATTAGCTTTGAAGCTGTAATCCGCTAGCACTTCTATCTGCGACTTTACTTCCTAATTCTGTGGCAGAATCACTATTTTAGCAATATTTTTTTCTAGAATTACAAAAACATGACCGTGAATAATTTATAACTTAGGATGGGGCTGGCTGATACACAGAAGTATCCATTAAATGTGTTCTGATTCATGTTTCCTTGAGCATAAAAGTAATTGGAAAGCATTTCTTTATAAAAGAAACCCGCTTTATTGAACAGATGTTACTGTATATAACAAAATACATCTCATTCAAACCAATTTTGTTAGAATTCTGGTTTGCTACTATATACCAGTTCTATTTATTTTTAATTACAAAAACACAATTGTGAATACTTTATAACTTAGAATGGGACTGGCTGATACTGTAGACGTATCCGTTAATTGCGGCCTGATTTATGCTTCCTTTAGCATAAAAGTAATTGGAAAGCATTTCTCCATACAAGAAGTCTGCTTTACTGGACAGATGTTACTGTATAGAGCAAAGTACTCTCATTCAAACCAATATCGTTAGGATTCTGGTTTGCTACTATATACCAGTCCTATTTATCTTTACTTAGATTTACAAAAACACATTTGTGAATACTTTATAATTTAGAATAGGACTGGCTGATACTCAGAAGCATCCATTAATTGCGGCCTGATTCATGTTTCTTTTAGCATAAAAGTAATTGGAAAGCATTTCTCCATAAAAGAAGTTCGCTTTACTGGATAGATATTACTATACAGAGCAAATCACTCTCATTCAAGCCAATATTGTTAGAATTCTGGTTCGATACATACCAGTCCTTTTCTGTTTATCTTTACTGAGAATTATAAAAATACAATTGTGAATACTTTATAATTTAGAATAGGGCTGGCCGATTCTCACGAGTATCCATTTATTACGGTCTGATACGTAGTTCCTTGGGCATATGAGTGTTTGGGCAGCATTTTTCTATAATAGACATTCGTTTTACTACACAGATATTACTATATAGAGAAAAATACTCATTGAAACCAATATTGTTAGAATTTTGGTCATTTTGATACCAGTCCTCTCCTATTTATCTTTACCTAGAATTACAAAAAAACTATTATGACATACTTTCTAATCTAGAATGGGCTGGCTAAGACTTAGAAGTATCCGTATATTGCTGTCTGATTTGCAGCTCCTTAAACATTTTTTGATAATAGAAATTTGTTTTACTGGATAGATATTACTTTATAGAGTATAACACTCTCATTCAAATCAATAGTGTTAGAATTCTGGTCATTTTGATATATACCATGCCTCTCCTGTTTGCTAATGAATGACAGTCGTGGATTGTATCTTGTTTACTTATGGTAATTACGTTTTTAGTTGAATAAAATCCATTCCACTGTTATAGAAATTACTTTATTAAATCAATACAAACAGAATATGGTTAATAAACCCAACTCGATAATACTGAAAACATCAACGATTGCTATAGTAGCACTACAGCAATTGTTGACCAAACTAAGTTAAACTACCCTATGAAAAATTGAATAAAAGGAACCCTTATTGCATTCATTAATCTATTATAACGACAATAACTTGAGTAATTATTATGTAAATGAAGTTTAATCTTAAAGATATTGTTGTAATACTTGTAAGTGTATCTAGTATTACTATATATTACATTAGCGATAGATTGTGGTCGATATTGAATCAATATGCATTAATGTTGACCAATTTTATTGCTATGCGGTAACTAAAGATAATTAAAAAGTAAACTCTATTGACTGTTGCACTAGGAGGGAACAAGCAAGACTATGGATACTGTATTATGTCTATTAGGTCAAGGATAGAGTATCTTCAAGAAGACGCTGGTCGTCATGGAAACATTCTCTCTAACTTGACACGATTATTATATACAATTGCAGTTGAGGAAGGGGGAAAGATATAAATTAGGATTAGCCATTTTGGGAAAAAGAAGTAATGGCAACCACTGTTAATTCAATTACCTCAGCAAGAGGCGAAAGAAATCGCTATGGCCCACAATTACCAGTGATTGAACATCCATTAACGCGACTTGGAAATAAATCAGAATTAAAAATACGAGGTGCATCAGCTAACTATAATAGTTCACGACCAACAAGTCATCAGTATGATCGATCAACCAACCAAAATCTAAGTAAATCCATTCACGTTAAATTCGATGATGATATAAATAATCAAAATCATAATGTATCGGAAGAAAACGATCTACCTCCGTTAAGAACAGAAAATAATCAAAATCTTCCGAGCCGGAAACATCAACGACTTTCGACATGGCCAGGTTAGATACTTTAAGGAGATACTTATAGATCATATCCAGAAAGATTACCACATCTGGAGTAAGGAATCTTTTTTCTAGTTGCTTATAATAATTTAAAATTAAATTGAGTAATTTTTATGAATTTGCTATCGATAAAAAAGATACACGTACGCGAATGTGTATGCTCCTTATTGTAGTAACACTGTTATCGCTTTCTAAATTTGACTATTTTATCAAGATCAATATTGTAATTATGAGTTAATGATCAGAAAGATCCATTAAATTTAATAAGAAAATTGGGGCCTATGTTGTGTTTTAAATAAATTACCGTGCTGTAATGTAGCTTAATATAAATAGGATTCTATGATAACGATAACAGTAATTCTTTAAATAGCTAATGAAATTTCTTGTTAGGCAAGTTATTAAATTTAATCTTTACAATTTAAGTAAATAAGGAAATGTCCAAATTAAAGCTAAAGCGTATTTTAGACACCCTTATTTAATCTCTGTAATCGAATCTGTTATTCTAAATTACATTTAATTATTTTTACATAGTTTATATGTTATACACGATTGAAATTTTATAGTTTGAGATCACTAAGAATATATTTTAATTAATTGAATTAATTGAATATGTTATGCAATATGTTTATAGATTTATACTCTTTCAATATCCATTTTGAGATATTAACTAAATTATTTGGGCAGAATGTATAATACTCGCATTAAAAATTTGTTGGAGATAGAGTATAATATATTTGTCATAGCAAAGCTACCCTATTTACTATCTGTAATATTGTAAAAAAGTATTTGAGTTGCCTAATAAATAAGCTCCTCTAATTGTTAATTTAGGCTCTATACTTGATAATGTTCCAAGACACAAGATGAATGCTCCTGAGGTTTGTCAGTTGACGTTAATCCTAGCTCTAAGCAACTAATATTTATCATTAACTTTCTGATTATTTAAAAATTATATGTTCTAACCCTTTTCTGAAATATTTTACTCTATTTTTAGTTAATACAACTAATACGAGAGAAAATACCGACGAGTTTTCACGGTATCAAACAAGCATTTAAAGCGTCAGATCCTTATGGAAAAGGAAACGCTCCTAGGTAAATTAATAAATATTATTCGCTATTTATTTATAATATCATTAATTCAGATTTAATTAAGCAGATTAGATTTTTTTTATATTTTTTCATATATTAGCCCGCTATAAATGTATATGTATACCTGTACGTGTAATCGTAACAGATATTACAATTGTTTCTATAGAGAGGCTATGGGAAGAATTATATATCACTTGTGTGGATATTTATTTCCAGGACAAATTGCTTCACTACTTAAGAGGTATTCATGAATGTCAATATTATACTGTACAGTATATTCTACCTAAATTTTAGGGTAGTATGCCATAAAAATTATTATTTATAGTTAGTTAATATGTTCAAAATAACAATTTATATCGTATTGAGAAAATAGTATAAGCTTACAGTTATACAGAATTTAATTTTTATTATATAAATCTAGTAATTTTACGCTTCGATTATTAAGCTTTCTTCTATTATTTGTAAAAGCTTATTTTACGTCCATCAACTTATTTGATATTAAACTATTCTGCTATTAGTCTGAATTTATCTAAGAAAAAGGCTATTTCGTTTGATGAGTTTATCGCCGCTATTAAAGACACTGAGGTTAGCTTACAAATTTTATTATCATTAATAAAGTAGTAATAATTTCAGAACTTAATAACTGTAGGGTTAATTTTGCACGTAGGTAGCTTATAATAATGTTAACAGTGTTGACTGCTTGTTTGAAATTCGTTGTTTTTAACAATGTTTAAATGATAGTCTAGCAACCATGTAGCTTGGGTAGATCCTGTACAGAGGTTAAATAATAAACCTGAATTAGCACCAGTAGAGTGGACAGCAACTCAAGTTCAAGCGCATTTACGCAATAGAGCATTAGATGGGTAAGCTTAATTATAATTTATAAATCTAATGCATTATTTATAAAATTGCACGTAGTCTCTATGATGTAGTAAAATTTCGCAACTAGAAGTATCCGCTGATGAGTACGTAAAGATGTTACTTGTTGTTCTTATACCGTATTAGGACATTGGCATTATATGATATTTTACCCCTGGAATGTTTAGTTGAAAATGGACAGATATTAAAGCCACAATTTCGTATCATGTTAGAAAATTTAAAGATTTCTATGACCGATTTTGAATTTGAAAAGCTGTGGGACAGGTAAAAAAGATTACCTTATAGCATTAGTACAACATTGCTTTTATTACTTGGATTTAAATTCTTACGGATTATTATTTTACGTATATATTACAGTATCTGTAATCCCTTTATCATTAAATATGGGCAAAAACTCGTTTATTAACTGTATTTAACGAGAGCCATTTACTATATTTAAAGAAAGTTAATACGTACTGAATATTATTAATAATCAATTCATTCGATGTTACTATAGATGCGATCTCCATGGTGTTGGTGGTATGAAAACAGGAAAAGTGTTTCGTAGATTGGGCATTGATTATGATAAGCTGTTAGGTATAATAAATTCCATTTCTATTACTGCTAATTCTTATAGTTCTCTATAAAATAATAGAAAATATATTGGGTATGCAACCTAAATACTTTAGTATACTGAGAATTGTTGCTGTCTTTTTCTTTTACCTCCACGATAAATTATTTGATTGGTTCGTACTAGATATAACTGCTGCTAGATCTAAATCAAGACAGTCAAGTGATGAAAAACCATCAGGTCAAGACGCCTCTAAAAAACAACCACAAAAGCTAATTAAAAAAATTTGTGCTGCTTTACAACGCCTGGTGCATAAGGTAACATGTTTTAAATAATTTTTCTATAAGCTGTGTGAACAATTAGACTTAGCTATATCGTGAGTTTTAATATGCATGAAGTAAATAAGGGATATTAATGAGCTTTGGAACTTTAGAACTTGAATACTATAGTTTTACATGCGAGTATACCATAAATAAACCTAAATATCAAATAGTTGGCTATACTGATATAATAGTTTGGTACAGTAATTATATTTAGTAAACGTAGACAATAATATTAATTAGAATTGATATTTACAAAATTCGTTAGTTTTTAAGGTCGTAAGCTATGCAGCAGTGAGCTATGCCATTATATTTAGGAAGATCACGAGAATAAATATCTAAACTTTAATAGAAATTTTGTTATTCAATTTTGGTAAAGACTCTTAGTTCCATTTGTCATTTTAAAACAACTTTAATAAAATGCTCTAGTTGGAAGAACCATTTGAAGACTTAATTCAGGAATTTCAAAAATATGATCATGATAAAATCGGAAAGGTAAAATTGTAGTTGTATTTTGGTTATTTTATATGATGGTGTTGCTTCTACCCTTGATAAGATTAGTGACAGTCCTATATCTGAAAACTAGTGGCAGCATAAATTGATATTTATAATAATGAATTTAAATTGTCTTATTTGATTTAAATAATTTAATTAGGTAACCAGGCAAAATTTTCGTACGATTATCAATAATTATTTCAAGCTTAAGCTATCTCCAATAGATTTGGAATATTTCTTGCAAAGGTATAAGAAAATTACAATACAAATTTTTACTAACTTATTGATTATATAATTGGTATAATTCGATCAAACAATTGGTGATAGAATACCAGAAATAGTATCACTTGGTATATGACTTTGTATATAGCGTATAATTTATCTAATAGAATATGCAAGTATATAGGGATGATAGGAATATCGGCTAAAATTTTTTCGTCTCTTTGTGTGCTTATGATGCGCAATATAGGATCAGTCATCGCGAGGAAAATGCTCTTTCTTATATTGAATTGGTAACGAAGTTTCTTAGTCGTCAAACTAATGGAATCTTACATTCCATCATGACAACGTAGGTCAATCTTGATATACTAAAGTAGCATATCTACTGATATCCTACATTCAATGTTTAAATAATAAAATAGGTTGATAATTTCATGTATTCATCCTACCTTGTTTTAGTCAACCAGATCCTGTTCCTGTGAAATCGAATTATGTCGACTTACATACTTCAATGATGGCAGAAGCTAAAATTGCTCAAATTCTTCATAAAAAATTTATTTCAATATTGGAGAAGTTTAGGTGTGTGAATTGCTGATCCATATTATTTCAATGATATACGCTCACTGTATAAATTATCAATAAGTACTTTGATTATATATAGTTATTACATGTATATTTGATTCATATCTATATAAATTTCTGTCTTTACTAATTTAATCGCTCTTTAATGGATGGTACATTAACTGCTGTATTCTACTACAGGGTATTCGATTCCGAAAAATGTGGCTTAGTCAACAAATATGATTTTCGCTTGTGCTTGGAATCAATTTTAAGTAATAGCTTAACTGATTCTGAATTTGACGAACTTCTGCATTCCACTGAAATTGAAGAATTGCGAGGAATCGATTATCCGCGATTTCTTACACTGCTTGATGATGCGTAAGAATTGACTTTATACATTAATTATTATTAAATGTTGCTATTTATTAATCCCTCAATAGTATGCACATAAAGATTTAATTGCCTATAGTAAGAGTATCTTGAAGGTATTAGTGAATTAAATAGTCTTTACATTCAATATAGCTCATCTGCTAGTTTGATGCGGCTAATAAACCGAAGCGGAAAATCACAGGAAGTTAAAGAGGAACCTATAAAAGCGCCTTCTGTTCCAGCAACGATCACTATGGCTAACGAAGATATAACTGCTACTCCGATTGAATATAAATCTTTTGAAAAAAGTGGAAGCAGCAACAAATTCAGTTATCGGAGTGATTTCAATCGTGTTGATCTGCCAGAGTCTGCAGTTGATGATGCTAAAGAAAAAACTAGTGAGTTGCCACTTTCAAATTCGAACACTAAAGTTGTTCGATTCAAAAGTGAAGTTGCAGCCGGAAGAACGTTAAAGGAGGTAAAATGCAGCTTGCATATTACATATTAGCTTCATATCACATTTCATGTATTCTAGTGCCCCCTCCCCCAAAATATAAAATACTACAAGCAGAATAAGTATTATAGCTGCTGGATATCCGAAACTAACATTCTTAATATATGCTATATACAGTATTAACTAAAATGTGCAAAATCTTGGATTCCAATGTCGTTATGATAAATATATTATTTTACAGTAAAGCTGCTGTATAATTTAGTACTAGTTAGTGTACGTTATAATTGCTGAATAATAGCTATCATCCTATACATGAAAAATTATAAAATATATATATTTATATCGTACGACAAGAATTTTTTTCCAATCGAATTCTGTAATAAAATGCCTTGATGTTTACGCAGATTGAAAACGAAATCCGTCCGATATTTTCGAAAAGATTTCATACTGCAAATAAGGTTGGTGGATTCCACGAATATGTATTTTGAATGAGATAAAACTGAATTAATTTCCCATTTTTGTCCTCCAATTAGTCATTTATTTTTAAAATTGACAAGAAGCGAACGGGAGAAGTCTCTGCTGCCGATTTAATTCTCCTTGCTTCAAAGTACGAGTAATAGATTGAAGATTATTACCCTAATTAAGTCTTAAGGCTGATTGTTATAGCTATTTTAAAAGAATGATTTATTCACTTCTTAACGACCGATGAAGCCCGGTACTGTAATAGTGCAATCTTAATTTCATTTTTAGGTATGGAATAACATTGGAAACAGATGAAGTCTTGACCTTTTTCCGATCTATTCGCGGAAAAACTGTAAAGAAGATCAAATTTGTTGATCTGTATCAATATTTTACCAAAAGTCATATACTAAAGCCGCAGGAATTCCTAGGTTAGATATAATGATTAATAATTTTGATTAATTTATATATTAGATAGAAATTAATGTAGTTTTATAATAATTCTGATTACTTGTAATGATATATGATTTATCCATTAATATTTAGATGATCAACATTTACGCGGCAAAGATAGCAAAATGACAAGCGATGTAAAAATCCTTATAAAGCAGAAAAAAACGGAGCACAAACTTCATAAGATTCAAGAAAAAGCTATCAAAATAATTACGTCTAAGGTTAGTATGAATTTCTTATTAATTAAGTATCTGGAGGATTTCTTGTTCGTTAATTCACTGTTTAACTCTTTTACACTCAAACTACTAGAGTGGCCATAAATTCAATGAAATTAGGAAAACATTTGGAGATATCGATTTATCACGAACTCAAGCAATCCCTCTCTCTGCTGTAAAGGTAAAGATACGATCATTATCCATTGCATATGCCTTAGAGGATCTATATAGCTTGTTTAAGAAGGATGTAATTGTAGCTAATTTTGTTTCTAAATCGAATAACGAATGAAATTTATTGTCTAATAAAATTTCTTATATGAAAATAGAAAATTTTTATGGAATATGCTTCTGTCGACCTTACTGATGAACAGTGGGAGGCTATAAATGAGTTGTATCGACACAAAAATGGCTTAGGGTAGGTATTAAAATATATAGGTATTGCTAACAGACACATAACATAAGTGGTCCATTGTGAAATTAACATAATCGTATACGTATGGTATCTATCTGATACTATTTTTTGCTTACGATAATATTTTTAGGATCGATTATAGCGTTCTGCTAAACGATATTGCATTAAATCGTCTGAAAATTAAGGAAACTAATGCTCAAACAACACCTATTCCTGGTCGTATAGTTGGACCTCGTTATGAAACTCCTTTGCCGAGTTCATCTTTTCAATTTGATAACGATGCCCGAGCAATACTAATCAAAATACAGAGAAAGGTAACTTATCGAAAATTTACTAAGCAGAGACTAGCGTTAATAGAATTGAGACAGATATATTGCATCGTCAAGTTCTAAATGGTTATACGTACATTAACTACTTTTAACAAGTACAGTACTATATCAAAAGGATCTAAACTGATCTACCGTTGCTATTAATTAATAGATTATGCCTCAATGGAAACCAATAAGACGGTTATTGAAGAAGATGGACGAATCAGGCAGTGGAAAAGTAGATGTTTTAGTCCTGAAAAGCCTTCTTGAAGATTGCGGTGTTACTCTGCAAGATGATCAATTTTATCATCTTTTGACGTATTTCGATAGTGATATTTCTGGCAACATATCATATGAAGATTTTCTGAGATGTTTGATACATTTAGATAGACTTTAAGGGTCTTTGTGAAATAACACATTATTTTTATTAAACGTATCTTCCACATTAAAATGTATCTTTACATTCTTATTTAGTAGTCACACCGAAATTAGATATATCTTTCATTCTTAATGCAAATCATGTCCAATATTAGAAGTTGATCAGCAAATTTTTGTTGCTAGTATATCAATTTAACCATAAACTATAATTTAATCCATGTAGCGTAGCCTACATTCGTACTACATGATTTATTTTCCCCTTAAATAGATACAGAAAATATCATAGTATTTTCATTGTATATTTATTAAATGTAAGATTACCGTGGTCAAACGGTAATTGCTTCGCCAATATTAAATACTAGACATAGTAGAAACTACAGTACTGTCAACTATATAAATTAATGTATACAAGCTATGGCAGTAAGCGTGAAAGATACTAAATCCTGTGCTCATGTAATTAAAAATATATATATATATGATATATATATATATACCGGGTAGATTAATCAATTATAGTTTTATTCGTGTATCTTACTAACACCTTCATTTGGTAATCTGAAATTTAAAAAAGTTGTAAGTACTATAGCTCTTTCAATTTATTGCTGTCAATTGTGAAATGTTTAACAATAAGCTACTTCATATTCTTACATCTGTGTATCAATAGTGAACTACATTTACTTCGTTTAGTGATAAACTCTATAAGTAAAAACTTGTTGATGTTACTTATCTAACGGTTATTAAAAAGAATACTTCAAATCGGATCTATGGTTCATAAAGTGACGTTATTAAAAATCAGGATACAACTCGCGCATTTATGGGCAGTAGAGTGCTGGATAAATTTATTAAAGCTAGTGGTTATCATATTGTGCAATATTTTCGAAATGAAAGTTTGAGTACTTGAGGCATTATGAAATTAGACGGTTTAATACCTAGGCAATTAGTTTATTGTAAAGGTAAAATTTATGAGTAAATTTACATGCAGATAAAATGCTATAGAAGGTTGAATTTATGATTTAATTTATTTATACTCATACAGTATATTGCAGGTAAACATACAGATATTATTTTCAAATTAGATTACAAGTTCCTTTCATACTATCCTTAGTTAATCTTGACATCGAATAGAGTATAGCCAGTACACGCATAAAAACGGACAAAAATTTGGGGTGGATTATTATTACTATTGATTGATATCCTTTATACTAGCCGTGGTAGCAGTATAATGTGTTTGCGTTATATTATTGTGGATCTGTTTCTTTAAATTTATTCAATTTCGCGATGACTGCCTGACCAAAGCTTTCTCGATATAACGGGCTGTAATTATCCAACAGAGAGTATAATGTTTCGTAATAGTCAGATGGATTGTCTGCATCAATTTTATTATTTTCGTATCCAACAATCTTAAGAGCAAAAATATATAAAATTACATTATTCATGGTATCTTGGATCTTCTCATTAAGTTATAAATTCAGGTATAAGCCACAATAACGTTTTAAAAATTGATATAGTTGCAAGGTTAGCAATCTGATTGTGATAGTATCGACTGATTGCTTTACTAAATAGTGTAGCTATACGATCTCCCTGTATACCAGCAAAAGCTATCTTGATCGTGTAGTACAATAATGTATGATAGAATAACGCATTGTACATAACTCTCCAACGTTAGGAAACGTCAGGAATATTCGGAGACCGAGAATCTACCACATTTATACAGTAGTCACTGTGTAAAATACAAAGCATTCTAAATAGCACAATGCTACTAGCTCTAGTTACCCACTGCGAACGTCGTATGATATATTTGGCGTATTATAGCATAGATAATTTTACATATGCTATTAGGACTCTTTGCAATAATGTATTTGCTGGATTTGTAGGTGAAACACGGAGTCATTTAAAGTAGCACAAGGCATTAACTGATTGGCATTTCAGCCAATACGAAGCTGTGATGGCAACAAACTAATAACGAATAGTCATTTAAAATAGTACAAGGTATTAACTGATTTGGTATTGAAGCCAATATCAAGCCGTGACGATATCAGACTCATAGCGTATAATTTGTAAATTAATTAAATGATAGAAGTATACTACATAAGGGATTACTCATAAATAACGAGTAGTTGAGTGGTGTTGAATTGAGCTATAATAATTAACGTAAAATTGTACGTATTGATCAGAAAGTTGTGTATAGGATAAAAGGTAGGGTAGTAGTAATAATATCAATCCAGAAACGAACATTAGAAGCATGGTTTTACTTGGTAGATGTGCTAGATCCACGGAGGAAAAATACAATTACTTTATAATATCTCCTTCGTGATAAAAGATCTACTGAATAGCTTTAGATGAATTACGAAGTGATTTAAAAATAGTGCAATGCACTAACTGATTGGTATTTAAACCGATATCAGTTATCTACTAGATTTGTAATAACTGTCGGTGAAATGTGAAGTATTTTTTGTCGTGCAATACATTAAGCGATTGCTATTTCAAACAAAAGCAAGTGTCTGGTGGACTTGTATTAATTTTGAGTGAACTATTTGTATTTTAAAAAGTGTAATATATTAACTGATTGGCTGTTACAGCAACACCAAGCATCTGCTGGATTGGCAATCCCATTTTGTACAATATTAGTTAGGAGAAACATCAATTATTTTAATTAGTACAGCAGTGCAATGCATTAACTGAATAGCAACAGTCTACTGTCTTACCAAACGCATAGATAAAAAAATGGAATATTTTAAATAGCGCAATGCGGATTATTATTGAAATCAATCGATCTAGAGCGAACGGTAATATTGGTACAGGTAAAAATGGCAACCAGTAAATTAGTGCGTTCCAGTAAAAAATAATTCAATTGTTAATTATATATAATTAATTATAATCAGAGGTTTAATGACAGTTAATTTTAAAAATTTTCTTTCAAGATTCTGTATTTTAATCAATAATGTAGCTTTCACATTTAGTTTGATTACAGTTGATTTCACTTAATATCTTAGTATACGCGTATTGTGAACTGACTGCATTATTGGGGTTCAAAATTTAATTGAATAATATCCGGAAGCATAGCCTTATCAAGAATTTCATATCGTCAGATTGTAATTTGAATGTTATCTGTATTTAGTTGGCGTTTTTCGTGAGCTATTTTTATCTCAATTCAGTGTCAATTCTAGTGGTTGGCATTTCCTAATTTTGACAGCCTTAATGCAGTATACGAGTAAACAAAGTTACTGTAACATTAACCTATACAAGTCTAAACTGCTTATACTGTAGTCACCAGTAAGAAATGCAATATTAGCCAAGTTACTCAAGATAGCTTTACATCGTAAGATTGTGAACTAAGTGATCTACTCTATTTAGTTAGTGTTTTATAAGAGCAATTTTACCTCAATTGTAAAACTTAATGATTTATTTTGGTGACTGGTATTTCCTAATTTTGACAGATTAACTTACAGTAATACAGCATACGAGTAAACAAAGTCCCCCTTTACAAATCTAGACTGCTTATAGTTACCAGTAGGAAAAGCGATGTTAGCCAAATTAATCAAGATAGCTTTACATCGTAAGATTGTGATCTAAGCGATATACTCTATTTAGTTAGTGTTTTATGTGAGCAATTTTACCTCAATTGTAAAACTTCATGATTTATTTTGCTGACAGGTATTTCCTTATTTTGACATACTTAATACAGTATACGAGTAAACAAAGTCCTCCTCTACAAGTCTAGACTGCTTACAGTTACTAGTTACCCGTAGGAAATGCAATGTTAGACAGGCTAATCAAGATGATTTTACATTCTGTACTATCCATTGTTTCAATAATTAGTAATTTTAATTAGTCACTAGCAAGATTGTGTGTAGATAATTTTACCCTCCATCCTGATGCTGTCACTTCAATGCAATAATTCTTTCCCTCTTGAGTGATGACATTAATATAGCATATCTCGAACAACCAAGGTAATGATTTTGCAGCATGAATATCCTTGACAGAGAAAGCGATCTCTTTCATAATTGCCAAGGCTTCTTGGCGAATATCGCCGCTCTCACTAGCATCCATCTTGAGTAAACTCTGATCGGTCAACAGCTGTAGCAGCTGCCTATAAATTAATTTTCAGCCTACCTTACATCATGCATGGCACAGTGCATAGTGTGCAATATCATGGACTGCTAGGAGAAAACTACTTCTGGAGCTTGCTCGAGCTCGAGTGTTCGTTACCAAGGAGCTTGATGACGATTCATACGCCTCGAGAGTCACGTACACCTTGTGTAGATCTCTCTCCCCCCCCCCCCCCTAGCGTACCGTACGCCACTACAATGCAATGGCCGCACAATCCGCGGGAATCCAAAAATGTCTAACTGCACTTTTTTATCGAATATTGAATGGTGGAGTGTATTACTAGTATGCAGTAGACCATACATCAACTGTAATACTTTTTGATTGAGAGAGAGAGAGAAGTACTGTGCTACAACATTCAACATTATACTGTATTATCAACAACGCTGGTATATTGTATTTCTAAAAGTCCATGGTATGACCATAGGCCAAGGGGAGAGGATATGAAGAAAATGCCGGACCATGGATCATTATTTTTAATGATGGATACAAACAAATACCAATAAAGCTCTCTATGAACTACTCAATCTTTCGGAGAATTACTGTTATCAATTATTAATTCCATACTTGATGAATAATTAATGAATGGTCCATTAATTAACGATAGGAAGACGAAAAACTACAAATGAAGGTCCCTGGCAACTCTAGTGGCAAGTACAATACGGTAGTCCTTGGAGTCTTTGAAGTGGTTGCGAAAATAATGTCACTCTATAGCAAGAAATCATACGACACAATAAGTGACATAGGTTTTAATTCATGATTGGGATACGAAAAACTACAAATGAAGATCCCTGCAGTCTTTTACAATGTTTGCGAAAGCAATGTCACTCAACAGTAACAAATCATACTTACAATAAGTGACATAATTTAGGGTCACGGCCTTATGTACTGTAATGTACAATACAGTACGCCCGCTACTACAGTGTACAGTACTGCATGTACAGTACTGTATTGTAGGCTTCAATCTTCAATCTTACAGCACTTGTAGTGCTTTCTACTGTGTAAGTACTATCACTTCATGAGTGTTTAAGACGTCCGAGTATCGTACTGTACAGCAAATCTGAGCCACACTGTACCGTACTGTATTGTACAGTGTACAGTGTACAGTGTACAGTACATGAAGTGTTTCGTACAGTACATTGTACACTGTACGCTAACAATCATACCGATACTGTACTGACGTACGACCACTGGACGAGGAGACATTGCTCTGGTGCATGGCGGCTTGCAACTTTTAGACTTCTTTTTGTGCAATGGCTATTCCAGGACGACCTACCATTAATGAGCTCGTTGCTGCTTTAGAAGCTTTGTATGTTCATAACGTAGAAAAAGCATCGAAATGGCTGGAAGAATTTCAAAAATCGGTAATAAATGCTCAGTAGGATAATAACAGTGCTTAATAAGTTTCTACAAGGAATCGTGCTTTCGTTCTGACTCATTTCCACTCTCATACTGTACTCACAAACGATCAGCACTCCTCTTCGTAGTCCTCCATGCTGAGCTTGTACAATGGAACATTTTACTCATCTATATTAATATCGTCAAGCCTTCACATAGGCTTTTTATCCAACTCTCCAATTCTATCGATATCCTTTGAACAAGATTCAACTTGGTTCTTGACCTATATCGATGTGATGGACTAGAATTAGGATAATGATGACGTTGCATGTCTACCCAAATTAATCGATCTAAAGTAAATCGAATAGTTTTGTAGACTCGTGTAGGCTCAGTCTGCTAGTAGTACTTTTGAAATTGAAATCGAACAGCTACATTATATTTTTGTAGCAATTATAATGATGAACTGCTAGTACAGCGTTGATTATTGGATATTATAAGATCGATATGCTTATCGTATGTGAAAATGAGCACAGCGAGTACCTGATCGGTTGATGCTATAGGGAATGAATCAACTCGCCTTGTAGCGGAAGTAGTTGCTAATATACGCGTACTAGACGAGGATCTTATCATCTTGAACACTTATGTTTTCTCCTACCAGATGAAATAAACAATAAATAGCTTATATAATAATAGACATGCTACTATAGTACAGCTAATGCTAGGCCTAGTGGAATGATACTTTTTATCTTATTAGAATTGGTTAGGACGCTTTTTATTCTCTATTTTATACAACTTACAGTTGAACAAAATTGCTAATTGACATAACGAATAATCACCCCTTGGCTTATGCTGATGCAGTCAGAAGTGATCAGGAAATCAACGTTATCATGTATAATTTTCATGTATTAATAACGTATCTTATCTTAATTACAGGTATATGCATGGGAATTATGTGATGAATTATTACATAAAAGCACCAATGAGACATATACTTACTTTGCTGCTAATACCATGAAAAGCAAGGTAACAAATCAACATCATTTCACACCTAGCTAATCAAATAAAACACTGAGTAGTTGATGCCTAATGTTAAATCTACCTTATTAAATGACGTATGATAAAGAAAATAAGATAGGTTTTCATTATAGATGATAGATTTATACTACCTTCAATTGGAATGCTTGCTAAAATACAGTATATTACAACACTAATCTGCCAGATTAAGATTGAACATATCAGTTGGTAGAGCAAACCAGATACTTCTAGAGTAGTGGCTTGCATCTACTGTTAAGTTGTACATTATATAACTGTAAACTAAAAGCGGTAAAGACTGTACTTACTAGTAAACGTTACTTTTCAGATAACATTTTAAATACTGATAATTGATTTACTTAGATTGAATATAGTTTTAACGAATTACCGGTATCGTCACATGGGGTAAGTCAATGCCTTAGCGTAAAATGTAATAGCAATATATTCTTCTTTTTTACTGGATAATCAATTTATTATAAATGAATTCATGAGCTACTAAAAAATGCAACTTTGTTGTCAATTTGTAATGTAATATGCCTGTATCACTTTTTCTTACGCTACGTAATTTTTTTACAGTCCCTAGAGGATGAGCATCTCGCCTCATATCTTGCTAATTTAGTAACGTTACTGTTTCAGTTTACGTACAACTGAGACACCAAGACTATATTTAATTCAAAATATATCACTCGATTTGCACTCTTTTAACATCAGTATCGCTATATAAATGAATACCAGAGCTATTATATTTCCTATACTTCAACATTAACCTTCAAAGGGGAATATTATACTTATATTAGTTGCTTATTTATGAATGGTTGCAGAAAGTATGTGCTATACTAATTATGGTTATTACTATTAATCTTTACCTACATACAGTCATTAAGAAACTCATTAATAGACCATTGCAAAAGATTACATGCTGGATCACCTTCAACCGTAACACAAGTAAGCATGATTTGACAAAGGAAGATTGTAAAATGGAAATTATTTATTCCCAGGAGTTACCATCTTACGTGTTATTGAAAGCTAACAAGATATAAAACTGTACTTTTTAACTGGTATTCACTGTTAAGTTTTTACCTCTTATATCCAATAGCATATTCTTATCGGCTTCTAACCTATAACTTATTATAAGTTATTTTAATTCATCTTTATTTCGCTTTTATTGTTATACATAAATATTAGTTATGCATAGCTCTTGCTGACTTAGCAATACAGATGGATCAATGGAACGACGCTGTACAAAGTTTGATTGTTAGGTAAATAGATTGATATTAATAGGAATTCATATTTATGGTGTCATTAAGTTGATAAAGATTCCTTCACATTTACTAATAGCTTAAACATCGACCTTTAAAGAATTTGTATATAACTCTAAAATGAATAATGATTAAAATGTTTTTCGTTCAATGTTATTATCATGCTTTGCTAGCAATAAGATACATTTTAATTTCAATGTACATACTTAACTGATAAATTCATGTTTGATGTTGGCGTTGTAATAGTTTCGCTAGCGAAATCCGGTATTATCCCATATTATTGGAAACACTTGAGATCTTACCCCAAGAAGTACGTTTTTATATACTCATTGTTACAGATGTTAGATATGCGCTTGATGTATTTTTAGAAAAACTCGTTGTTGATTTCAAGTATCATTTCTGCTTGGATGGTTCAACAATGAATTCATCTATTTATAGATTGAAAGTGAAAAAATACGAGTTGGTGAAAACAGAAGAACTTTGGTAACAACGATCTTACGGCAGTCGTCAACACTAGTTTTCGAGTTTTTGGTATGAATAAGATAAAAATAATGCACTTCAACTTTTCATAATTTTATAAAGAGCGACTAATGATTTAATGGGGAACTATTTGCAACGTTATCTTTAGTCAAAGTGCATGGAAATGGTGAAGACTGACTCCAATATCTGTGTTAAAGTGAGTAACTATTCTGGTTACATATTGATTTTTTAATTTGTCCACTATACCGCATCAATGACTTCACTACTGATATCTTATGCAGATTGCAATAGCAGTTCTAAAATATAGAAATCTTTAATTTATAGACTCTTGCTTGCCTTGCCAGCTGGTTTCAGTTAGGTCCTTTAATATCCGAACAAATTATCTTGAGTAATTTCTTAGAAGTTCCTTTTCAAATTTTAGTAAGTAATGATATTTTTAACATTTTCGGGCTTGCTTCCATGTTTAAATAGTTCAATTCAATAACCTGAAAGTTTGTCTGTCTTTGTTAATTATTTTAGTTAAACGTTCAGTCTAATATGCGAATTTATGAAGCGGCTAGCCGGTGCATATGCGGTGCTGCCACTGTTGTTGAGGTAAAATATCATTATCCTGTTTTATGATTAATTATCAAAGAAGATTAGCTATATTCCTCTAGTGGCAATTTGTATCGACGGTAATAATATGTGTGCCGCAAATTTATAAATAGGATTATGAAAAATATCAAGATTTAGCTAAAGCACTTCTTACAGCATGTCATCAACTGGCGAATGGTGCTTTTCAAGAAGTTCTTAACAACAAAGATATGGAAAGGTACCTTACTGAGCTAATTAAAGTTCACATAAGTTCTAACTGATTCTGTATACAGTACCTGAGTATTATGCTTCTGGATGTATTTGGCGGCAATCATTAAAATTTTACGTCAATCCATCGAAATATTTAGATATGATATACTATCATTTCATTTGCTAATTTTGTAACTTTTTTTCCATACACCACTGAAGAGCTGGTGCACTATGTCATATTTTTACTGAGCTTGGCATTTCCTTCCATCGGTGTATGATCGATACGCCTAATCAGGTATGCAATTATAAAGTTACTGTGTTCTTATATATAGAAAGCCACTTTGTTAAGTTATCACTTGTGATTATTTAGGGACTGGGTAGTTTTAATCTATTGGAAATGATATCTTTATGTTCCGAATATGGAAATATTTCTGTAAGTTACTTGTAGGTGAGCTCTCAAAATGAAATTATTGATTATTACTAATATATTTTGTTATTTTTGTTTCATTGTCTTGGCTTAGCTTGCCCAAATTACCTTCGATTTTTGGTTTTGCTTGGCCGACTCATTATTTGACTTGACAGAATCTGACAACACTTACAGTAAACCCTTTGAACCGTATATATTTCGACTATTGGATCATCTATGCAGACTATGCCAACGATGTGAAAGCGAGGTTTTCATGAATGAGATAATTTATACATTTTACATCTTTTTCTTGTCTGATAGATTAAAAATCTGACGATATAGTGAGAAATGAATATCATTATCTCTACACTAGGAAAATGAAATCCTAGCTGACGATGATACGATGATCGAATTTCGCCGCGATGTTGAAGATATTTTACATAGCATTAAGTTCGTCGTTGGTGGAGCTGTGAACTGCTTTACACACGTCAGTTAAACCTATTGCCTATTTACATGTTATTCAACTTGTTTCTTACTATATCGGTTAACATTCTATTAACTACAGGTATGTCAAAATACCCTAAATTCAGCGAATACGTGGGTACAGATAGAAGCGGCATTCTTTATTCTTGGTATTCTAGCTGAATCTTTATTAATGTAAGGCACTTGTCAATTTTTTTTGTCGCCATGGTGGTCATACTTAAACAGATCGACGTGTTATAGTCTTATTATTTTTGGTATCGTTCTTTTCTAGGAGGCATGCTGAAGCTGTAGTACCTGTGATTGATATCGTCATATCAAGTCCTTCTTATGGGCTTGCTTTGAAGCAGACTTGTTTAAAACTATTAGAAAAGCTTTGCTTTGTATTTCATCAAGAGGCAGGAAGGGCTTACCTTTCCGGCTTTTTGTCTTATACATTTAATTCGTTACAAGAATCGGCTCTTACTACTCAAGCTGCAGATACAATTGAAAGCGCTTGTAAAGAATGCAAGGAACATATGTATCCACATCTGAACCCATTAATTGAGGTATCTTATTTGACCTATTTTTTTATTACATTAATATTACCAACACATATTGGTAATAACTAAAGTTTTTCTGATTTTAAAGGCTATTCAGTTTACCAGCGTCAGTGACCGAAACGCTAATAAATCTGCCCTTAGTCTTATTAAAGGTGATTGCATAATTACTCATTTTTTAAGTATTTTAGTTAAGTTCTGTAACTTATAATTTTATTAACGGACCAATCCTATACAGGCGCAATGGAAATCTTAAGTAATGTATCAGTGTCCAATGCTTACGAAATTTTACAGAGACTGGGTGCTCTGCAATTGGAAACTTTGCAGCAGGTAACAAAGCATACTTGTCAGATAAATAAATGACCATTTTCGATGCGGATGTTCTACCAGGTTGGTATTGTACTATATAATTCCTAGATTGCACAAGTTGGTGATGGGGCATCTATGGAAAAATCCCTTGATCCTGTTCCTCCTATTGATCGTTTAAGCCATATTTTTAGGTACCTTATCGCAGCACTACTGCATCGTTACTTACAAGCATTAAATTATACTGTATTTCTAACAAATAAATATTGGTACAGGTTTTACAAGGCAGGCCTAAATCCATCTGAAATGCATCCTTGCCTTTCTATTCTTGAAAATGTACATACTTAAATTAGGACTTTATTGTTATCTGAAGCAAAGTGCTACACAATCGTACTAATTTACAAGTTTTGATTTTAGGCATGGCCGATTCTTAGTAGAATTCTTAACAAGTACAAGAATGATGTTATAGTTTTAGAGCATACATGCACTTGCATTCGGTTTGCAATTCGTTGTGTGAGCTGCCGAGCTGCAAAATTGTTAGCGCCTATAGCAGAGCAGGTGAGTAGCTCGTTAGGTAACTGTATTGAATTTAAATGCATGGAATTTTTACTTACTTAAATGTAATTGACTTTATTTTTTGACTTTTTCAGCTGGTAAGCTCTTACGCAGAGAATAAGCACTCGTGCTTCCTTTACCTGTCTAGTATTTTGGTTGATGAGTTTGCATCTGAAAGCATTTATGAGAATAGTTTCAGGCAAATGCTTGAGGTACTATTGCGTTATGGTATATTGAAATAATATCTGTCTATTGATTAATTTGCATATTTTTTTACCATAATTTTCAAATAATTATACTCGTTTCTTTTGTAGCAATTAAAATTAATTCTGATTTATTCTTGATGTTTTTAGATTTTTTGTCGAGTAACTTCAGAATTTTTGAATAATCAAGCAGATTTAATCGATAATCCTGCAACTGTTGATGATCTTTTCAGATTAACTGCTAGGTTGTAATCTTTTGTCTTTTAAATAGATGTAATACAACAGCAGATGTGTAGATTTGTAGTTTATTTCTATACGTATACTATATTATGGAATTGTTTTTTGAAGTATAGATATCTACAACGTTGCCCTCGACTGATATTAACTGCGCCAGCAGTTAATTTTATTGTTGGATGTGGGTTAGCTGCTGCTACGTTACAACATAGAGATGCTCATGATTCAGCTCTTATTGTATTTTGTGACTTAATTGAATGCATACGTTATAGAGAGGTTAGTCACTTGAAAATAGTTTCTTTTGAATGTGCTAGTTAAATATGTGTTCATTTCTCGTTGGGTAAGTCGTTACCTGGTAGTGATATTATAAGGCAACGATCAAAAGAATTAGTTGACAATCACGGTCAAGCATTAGTCAAAGGTAAAGCTGAACGTTTGGAGTTTAAAGACATGAATTTCGAGCATCGGTAATTAAGACATTTTATTATGTTATTATAGCTTTAATTGATTCCGTAGCTGACGGTATTCCGAAAAGCCTTCTCTCAAAAGTGGCTGAAGTTCTTCTAAAATTGCGGGATTATTCGACATCGGTATGCGCATATCTAGTAGCTAGCTATTTTGATCTTCCATAAATTTTCTATTTAGTGTAGTTCAATGTCAGTGCTTTTTTTCTATGTATTTCCTAAACTTGAAAGTTATTATCTGAGTGGGTTAAAGCCACCTTATCGTCGCTAAATACTGTGACTGAAACTGGATCAGTAATTGCAACACCAGAACAACTTAACCAACTGTATGACAGAATACTGAGGTAGGAAGATTTTATAATTTAGGTCTACGTTAATACTTCTTCCCTGTGCTACATTTTAGGTAGTCATAGCTTCTGCACTCAGACTATTGTTATTGTTTCATTGCAGAGCTAACAACATTGAGGACTTAATATACAGCTTGAAAGAATTTCGTAGACTTTTTTATTAATTTTTTTGGTATCATGTTATTTTGTATGCAATCGTACAAATGGATCTTATGTACTGTGTAAATGTCGCTTTTAAAGAGCACATAAAATCTAGCCTTCTGTCATGCTACGCATAGACTAACGAGTTCATTTTTCAAGAGCCTAATGTATAGCATACTTGTATCGTATTACTGTAAATTAAGGAACGGGATGCTTTGCTACTCTTTATAAATAAATTGAGATTAGCATGATATATTTTTATTCAAGATTTTGTTGAATTTTTCAAGGTACGGGTTAATTTATCACAAATAAGGATCTTATTGTAATACCAATAAAAATTTGAGGAATGTTATAAAGGACTTTTGCCGCAAAATTTTTCGGACGTCCTATTTTCTTAGTGCTTATGGTGGATATTAGTCCAAGCTCTGAAAGCTATATGTAACTGCTAGTTAGTTATACCGTTAACATTAACAATTTTAGTTAAAGTAGTAAAACCGATTTCGATAATTGAGGTGGATGTTTTAAATAATGAATTTGCTAAGAGGCTGTATTAGACTAGAAGCGAGTAAAAGCAAAATACGTATCTCGCAAGGAAGGGCACTAGTTATTGCAATATTTATATAGTGATAAAAAAATATCGATCAAAATAATATGTAAAGAATAGTACACATACTTATCAGTATCTGGATAGCGATTTAAATAAGATTAATATTCAATTGCTAACGTGAGAAATTGTATTATCGATAACAAAGAGTATAACTTTTATCGATGTAGTATCTCTTGGCCGTGTAGATGTAATGTAGTTATCATCTCTAACTTGTTATGGTTACAAAAATGATATCAAAAACAATAGAAATCATATTGGTAAAAATATGACAGTGATCCATCTTATTCAGCTTTTAATCTGTTATGCGTATGATAAACGGCTTTGTCTATAGGATTAGAACAGTTATTTGCGGGTTCTGAAGGCGGAAACATTCTCTTAAATATTTTATTAGTTGACCTTAATTTATCGAAAATATTTTAATTGTTAGTTTTACATTTGTAGTTAAATAAAGTAGTTGTAAGTGTACTATAAGATTTGCGTATTATCTTAAATGAAAACTAACCTGATAATAAGTACTAATAATACCAAGGGTATGGCAAGTGCGCAAAAAGTAAACGCGTAAACGGCATACTTCATATTATTCGTAGGCCTCGCTACTCTTGTTGGACAGCTTGCTGGAGTACTTTTCTAGTATGAATAATATAGTCAATAAGACAAAGTCTGCAGTAGACATATGATTAAAATGATAGATTTAAGAATAATACGGAACAAAACTTATAAGAGTGATACAAATTTTACCGAATCTAAGTCGCTTAATTTAACTGTTTGCTGCAAGCTTAGGCCATCTAATCCATGTATTTCGATTGAAATTTCAGTCTGCAGGTCGCATATAATAGTCAAGTTTTTGAAGTTAGTTAATAGACCTGCAACGGCCATATTGAAAAATATATCTATCGAATTTAGGATGCATGATTCTTTTAAGTTGATAAGCCTAAGTAGGCAGATCTCAACTGAACTACGGAGCAGATTGTAAAGGAGCATAATCATTAAAAAGAATCTACGGGTCGCAATACCGCTTGTTCATTCCATTTCAGACGTATCAATCCGAAATTTTGATTTAGATGTATATCACCGACTCGATACTTAGATATGACATATCTCCTAACGGAAATATAGAAATGTGCACTTTAATATGATGTTAAATCAAAAATATATGTATCGCAGCTAATTGTACGCATTGGCAGATAGATAGAAAGATAGAGTACAATTATATTACTTTAACGACCAGCTGCAGACGCTAAATGGAACAAGAGTTGTTTCACATGTATGCGTTAGTCCGCTGGAAGTAATATCGAATATAGGATATCCTATAGGATCAAGCAATAAAATATTATAATTTATGATTAATTGGATGGATTTATATTATATACATAGCATTAATAATACAATTCACATAAGTTTAGAAAATGAGGTAATTTTTAAAGTCGTCAAAGTATCAATTTTATATCCAAATACAAAGATACTAACCAATCCATGACTCGTTGAGACATGAAATTTCTCCAAAGTGAACATCGCCGCTTAGCAAGATGACCTGACAGCCAGATATGGAATGATAATGCGTACGTTACCATATACCAATATAGAATGATGTAAATATACAAAAGTATTATCCTATACCCTTGGTCTTGATCTGATTAACCATAGAAATCTATCAAAACTTTTTTTATAAAATCTCCATCTATCGACGAAGGGAATATCCGTTAAAACCTAACATTTGAATAGTGTTAAAAATATTGTAATGTATAGGCGATGTAAATAATTCTGTAGAGAATGTGAAATTTCAACTAACCTGTATGCTACTGCCTATTATAGTTAAAGCTGCGTCTTCACTTAGTTGCTCTTTCAACCATTTCCATTGTTCATTGCCAAGTATGTCTTCATTAATAGGATCAAAGAACGTTCTTGTATCAAGTAAAATTAGCTATGAAAAATAAAAATTTTAATTACATAAAATAATTGATCTTTAATCTTTTTTTCGGAGGTTTACCTTTAATTAATCTGAAATTTCCTTCTTTACGAGTCTTAATATCTTACATTAATGTAGCAATTACTTGTTGTTAGCATCATATTTTACGAAAATATATACTCGTACTTTATCACAGGTAGTATTTCTAGTTGATTGCTTCCAGAGCAATTCAGATAATGCTGACACAAGCAATCAATTTTAGGCTAATGTACATACGAATAGACGATTAAAACAACCTTTAATATAGTAGTAGTGACTTAAACTAACTTTTACTGACTTATGCCTAGCACCCTATTCGGTATAATAATAGTGGTACACCGATTTTGAAGGCAATAAATAATTTATCACAGATCATCATCAATATACTGTGATACCTTCACAGTTTTGTTACCAGTTCCAAAATAATAAGAGACGTAAATGCCTTCTCTTTGGCGACGTTTGCTATCTGGTGGTTCGTCCAAAAAATTTAAAAATACGTGTTGTGTTTGCAATTTGTTATTGGAATTCTGTTATGAAAATTATAGGATTAATAAATCGGATGATAAATATAGATGAAAATATCATTAGATGGTTAGGTTGCAATATTAAAATAATCTAAATATTACCATTAAATAATATAATTTTACATAGTGGGTTTTGTAGTTTAGTACACCTCAATACTGCTCACTATCAATATTAGGTGTTGATTAAATAAAAATGTTTCAACTCTTAATTAGAATAGGTTGAAGATAAAGGTTAATACTGGTACGGTGGATAGTATTGCTGAATAGAATAGTTTGTAGTGTAGCATAGTGGTATATACTGTAATGCTATATAGAACATTTTTCATTACTACCTTATTACCACCATTTTCACCATAATCATGATCGTCCCAAACGCCAACTATTTTTATACCGCTGTTTCGAAATTTCTATTAAATACACAAATTATCTAATTAATGCTTCAGCATTATAAGTAGATTAAGTATAGCATATAGATCGAAAGTGTTAATAGTATATTTACGAACATTACTAGCAAGATTTGATTAGCTATTAAAATTAGATCCAGAATACCCATAAACTAAGAATATTAGAATCAATTAAGCAAGATATGCATGCCATATACAAGTAGAATAAGCATTATTAGGTCTAATGAGAGCGGTTTCTCGAAATTCCTTTAATATTTGTAAGTACATGAGCCAATAGTCTTGTGATCTGTATAAAATAGGGAATAATACCTTGTATGCAGTATTGTTATAGAAGCGCATATAGATATCTTCTACAACTTCTGGTGGATTACGAGTCCATACAAATGGTAGAATTCTGCGATCCGCGTAGACCACTATATCGCAAGTTTGGTGAATATCAAATTATCTTATTAGTTCTTGTTTCATTGAAGCGGATAGTAGTTATCATGAAGGAATAAGATGCTTAACTCGTTACTATATTGACTACTTTAATTATTTAGTCTACAAAAAGATCGATGGATTATAAAACGAATATTAATTGTGACACCTTATAAAAATACATGAATAAAAGGTATCTTGATGTGCACTTAGACGGTATTAAGATACTTGCAGAGCGAATGGAGCTTGCTTACATCTAAGGTGATAGCAATGCTATCGTCATTTAGTATCCATCAAGGCTTGCATATTGTAGTGTGATTATATCTTTAATCAATTTTAAAATATTGGTAGAGTAAAATTTTTGAGCTACCGTGGTTAGGGAAAGCGTAAACTAAGCTCAATTTAATAAGTTGCCGTAATAGGTCAATTCTATACTGTATATGAGTATACGTATGTCGTATAGTGTTGATAAAGATCGGTTGTAGCTTTTATTTCAGTTGATTGATACACTTTGTAGTATTGTAGAAGGCGAGCAAATTATAACGCGTGCAGATACAAGTATTTTAATTGCAAATATGATTTGTTAACGACTTTATCTGACAGTAAATAATTCATACATGCGAATTAGTAAGATTAATTAGTTGATAATAAAACTTAACAAGTAGTTCAACAGGTACCTAATATAATTTAAGGTTATAAGCATTGTTGTTATAGCAAAATAGAGTCTACCCTTTCGGACTTACCATCACCTAGCCAAACGAATAAATCTGGCTTTTGTCCAATAACACTTTGCCAAATTGTTTGTGGTAAACTATTCTTGCTAAGGCATAGAAATGATGTAGATTAGTTTATAATAACATCATAGTAAGCTTGATGATTGAATTGAAATAGCTCTATCAGTTTGCAGTAAGACGACTTTTATACTGTTAATGCTGTAATCAACTAGTCGCTAATCATAGTATACCGATGGTGGTAGTGCTTAGGAGTATTTTATTGTTTTAATTCGTTCATGATTAATACTGAGATGAACAAACTCTATGTCAAGCTGGGTTAAATAATAATATTTAGTGGATAATTGATTATGAAAGCGTGATACATTTTATATCATGTAACGTGTAGATCATTTGGAGACGTTTGATCGACGCTGTGAAGATTCAAAGTGGATGGAGAAACATGCAATCACGTCGACATCTACAATACTTATCCAGATTGCATGTAGTGAAAGCGCTTGCATCGAATACTGCTGTAAATCTATCGATCAATAAATGAACATTAAATTGAAGTAGCTCTAGAAATTTCAGGTGGTCCAATAACGTGTATTGTATGCTATGGTCTAGCAGCTCGTTAGCATGTGTATTGGTGCCTGGCTAGCTTGTATGAATCTTATTACCGATCATTTAAATTATGCAGCTTTCATTCCGATCAAAGTAGTGAAGATTCTAGCCAATACAGATAAACATTAGTTGTATTCAAGCGTAGACTGGATTGCGCCTAATGCTGATACTACCATTGCACATGGTACATTGGACTTGGATGTGAAATTGAGACTACTTCAGGTAGGCCGATAGCGTGCACTGTATGCTATGGTCTAGTAGTGAGTTGGCATGTGTATTTATGCCTGACTAGCTTGTACAGTACGAATTTCATCACCGATTTTTAAAATCGTGCAGCTTCAATTTCGATCAAGGTAGTCAAAATTCCTTGCAAATAAATACCAGCTCTATTGAAGTGTATACTGTACCGTATTATCGACCGTTGGTCTATGGTACATTGTACTTATACTACTCCGATGTGAAATTGAGGACTCCATACTTTACTGTATGCGTCATCTATGCAGCTTCCACTCGGTAAATTGTTTCAAGTTGATAATATACTGGAACTGTAGATCTACCGATGAGCTTACTAACTTGTAGGATATGACGGAGGCATGCAGTAGGGGTAACTCTTGATTTTCATCCTGCTATACTTTATTCATTCAATAAATTTGCATACCTGCAGCTGCCAAAGGCGACAGTACTGATAACACTTTGATTGTAGTAATCGGAAGTTTGACCTCCACTTACACCAAGTATCAGCATAGTAGGTATGAAGATCACCTTGGTCAAGAACTTTAAATCGCTCATTTTCGCTACCATTTTGCATCAACTATGCCGATGAATTACCAGTGCTTTCGCCTTGGCTTTCTCAACGACGTAATACTATTACCATAAAATTACCATAAAATTACAGTACAGTACAGTACAGTACATACAGTACAGTAAATACAGTAGTACTGTACTGTAGGCCGTGATTTACTGTACAGTACAGTGGCAGTATGCGTTCCTGTACTGTACACTGCACACTGTAAAGTCAGTGTGCACGAGAGACCTTCTACAGTGTACAGTACATATACATGTACTGTACACTTGGCCCCGCTTGTTCTCCCATACTGCACTGTAAGTTGATGAAACTCTACTTGTGCTACACCGCAGAACCACTATACAGCACCTGTCAGAACACAATTGACAATTTGCAACAGCATTAATTGAGGTTAACCCTATGCATCCATTAATTCTGTTGAAAATTGTCAATTATGTTTTGACAGGTACTGTACATTCTATGAGGGTCTCTAGTGTACGTATGATCAAAGTCACGTGATATTCTCCCTTACATTGCAAAAGTAAAAAAAAAAAAATTGGATTTGCCAAAGTTTAGAAATGCCCTTTGCCCATACAGTACAGTACTAGAGTACTGTACACTGTACACTGTACTGTACACTACGCAGGCCCAAAAGGGACAACTTGACGGTGAAGAATTCGACAGTACAGCACAGCAGAGTACAAATTCTACAGTGTACAGTACTGTAGAATTCTATAGCATACTGTACTCTACTGTACAGTACAGTGTACAGTTGAGCATTCATTAGTGAATTCATTCATTCATTCCTATACTGTACAGTGGCATACTGGAGTGGACACGTAGAATTCATAAATGATTTCGTTACGGATGAGTCATCGATTCAGCTAGCAGCTACTCCTCTACTAATCAACATTTTATCCAACGTAGAATTACGACATTGTTATGCTGTATTACTGTAGTGCAATATTGAGAATCATTGTTTGACAGAAACCCTTGTGTGTCGTAGCAATTCATTAATCTATTGGATGCTTCGAATTCTATATGTCATATACGGTATATATGTAATTATTCTTATCACTGGATTAATAAATAGTGCTCAGTAGGTAGTGCTATCTATAGAATCTTTTTTTCATCACTTCCGTGTTGTGGTCTACTCTACAATTTTATACAGTAGTACCGTCCGATTTCCGTTATACTGAACAGTCAACGCAGTAGAGTGATATTATTTTTTTTTTTTAGCAGTCGCTGATGATCATTCTGCTTGTTTTCCGTTTAATAAAATGAGTAGTAATATGATTAAAAAGAATGATGCAATGATGGATATGAAGATAATACCTGTAAATCCTTAATCAGTCATCAGCTACATGGACACTGGCTATCCATGACAAAGGATTGATGACTCATTAGATGATCGGTAGAATAACGCAAGTTTAAACAAGTATTAGACCTATGCATATTTACTGTACGCTATTATAGTGATTATTTTGGGGATTGATTCCAGTTTCTACTGTACCGTCTAATATTGTAACAGTACAGCAATGTTTTCTTTCCAATTATTGTTCATAACTGTTTATAGAAGGATTTTTTCGAAGGTAATTCTCTTTGTACCAGCTTACAACGAGAGTATTCCTTAAAGCATCCAATAATACAATTGGCATCATCAATTTCATGACATCCAAATTTTGAAATAATTTGATCATTCTTCTAATCTTAATATTTTGTTTATGCGTACAACTGTAGATGAATGGAATATTAATGATTGCTACACGCCATGATAGCGTGATTGTGAGTTACCAGGAATAATTTTGTGGGAATTTTAATGTTTCAGCTCTATTTTTTGGGTGACCTTATCGTCAATCTACAATACAGTACAGTACTTTTAAGCGATAATATTACTATTACTAGTGGAGTTACCTTCGTTGTTTTTTACGTACTGTATATACAGTAATTTTCTGTACTCGTGAATCCACCTATTGTCCATTTGTAACACTTGATTACTGTCTTTTACCCGCTGTCAGCAATACGTAATCTCTAAATATAGTATCAACATTTTGAAAGATTACCATCTCTAAAAATTCAATAAGTCTTGGAAGATTAAACTCCATTTGAATCGTTGTACAGTAGGCTAAATTGTCATACACCGTGTTCAAGGTAAATAGACAAGGCACTCGAAACTGTTGTTAATATTAACACTTTGGATCATTTTCAATCTCCTTGGAGAGTAGTTGAATGTCATCCTCCTGATCGAGAAGTAATAAATTGGTGAGATATCCAAGATATACATTGTACATTCACTGCTTTATAGAATACTGTAGAAGTTAGATACTAGTGTATGACATTAGTGTGGGTTATAGCACGCGTAGATGCATAGTTTATCGGCACTTGGAAACCTTTTATTCGTTTCCATGGTGGCCAAAGAAAGAATTTCTTCAACTTTTTCTCACGTTGTCGAAAATTGCATGCACATGAGTAGGGCACAATAGAGTAATACTGTCATCACCATAGTGCATTATTTTACTTAGGCTTAGGATGGAATCCATGAATTGTAGGCTAATTTTGATCGCAACGACTGTACACCGTCGTTGTGTACTACAATCTACGAAGTCTATCCATCAGTAAATCGATTGTAAACAGCCAGAAATGATGTCATTTAATGCTAGTCCTGTAGGCGGGGCAATTTAGATCGTCTTTTTCATGAATAGTGGAAAAAAAAGGAAAATTATTTAATAGTCTAATTTAAAGGATCAACTGTCTGCCTATTTTCATGTTGTTTGTACTCGTCTCAAAATTGCAATCCGCAAAATTAACTTTTACATTGATCATGATCCTACGTAACCCTAACACACATAGCCATAGTGGACTGTAATCATGATCGAGGAGTACTTAAAAGAGAGTTTCCTTTTCAATCTTAAATTCATGCTAGCTCATGAATCACTAGATAGATATCGAGTAATCCCCATGGGTTCATCATGTCGTATCTTCGAGGTATAATATATGTTGCGAAGTGATGAAGTAAAGCCTGTTGCTTTCTTGTGAAAAGAGTAAAGTGTACAGTATATCCAGTGTATCTCCAGGGTTACCGAGTTGTTATTGAAGTTGAAAATACACTACAGTACAGTACTGTGCGTGTACTGTACACTGTACACTGTAGTTGATAGTACTGTTGCTACTGTCTACTGTAGTACCAGTTTCATGTTTACTGTCAGTCAGACTGCTGTGAGTAGTCAGTACAGTTACTACACTATCAAAGACTTTTTGTTTTGATTGGCTTTGGCTGCTAGAACTGTACTGTACTGTACTGTAAGTAAACAATCATGTTCCTACAGGCCTGCATTGGTCGATTACTAGATCAGAGCAGAGATTGTTTTTTTTAAGCCGTCAATAAACTTGCCATTAATGATAGAAAAACTATTTATAGACATCCAGTACTGTAACAGTGGCACAGTAGTGCAGAATATTGTGTCCAGTACGGTACCGTATAGACTGCATCACTCTACTGTATAGTACTGTGACCGAGCGTGAACTGAGTCATATCGCTTCGGTAGTCGGAAGAGGAGGACCTCGGCGACCCACTGCTGCTTTCATCTCACTCATTAGCAAAGGAGACCACAACACCGGACCGGACCGGACTGGATCGGATCGTTAAGGCGTTTTCTCAACTCCAGTTGGAAACATCAATCGCGCAAGCCTACCGCAAGCAAAGCAAGACAAGCCCATCTAAGCCCTCCATCCATTCGGCGGTGGAAGAAAATAAACTGCAAACATTCCTTACTCAAGGCTTAATTTTCATCATCCATATTGGCAGTGATTGGTGTCCAATATACGCGTAGCTCCCCGACAAGCCCATCTAAGCCCTCCATCCATTCGGCGGCGGTGGAAGAAATAAACTGCAAACATTCCTTACTCAAGGCTTAATTTTCATCATCCATATTGGCAGTGATTGGTGTCCAATATACGCGTAGCTCCCCTACAGTGTAGCTGGGTGTGATAATCATCTCTAAATGATTGATTCATCCTAGGTAATCAACTACGATTGAATTGATCCTTTGACACCCGACGCCAGAAGAGAGATTTACCACTATATTCAGCTGGTGATCTTGTTGAATTTCCCTTGAACAGGTATGCCTTCAAGGCGATATGTACAGTATACTAGAAATGGATTTTGAATTCAATCATCGCTTGATCGCATTGTAGTGTATGTAATTGTCGATGCTTTCTTTACAAACTATTCTAGGGTGTTGTTAACGTAGTATAACTTGGCATTGAGACTACTGTTTTCAATCATTTCAATCCATCAGCTACGGAAAGACAAGAGACTGAGTGATTAAACGCGGTGATCGAATGCAATTAATCCTTTACTCATCGTTGTTGGTCAATTGACCACATCTAGGTAGGTTAAGACTTTCTTCTTCATCTTAATAGTGTATTAGTTAAGGCGATGTACATCAGACGGATCAACTAAATAGACCTCATCGATCAACGAATAGTCAATAAAGAATCTCTTGATAGTACTGCAATCGTCTATACTTCGTGTACACTTTACACGCTGTACAGTCTACACTCGTATGTTGTTAACGTATGGAAGCTTACTATTCAGATTGATTGATTTTCTAGGAAAAAGAAGAGAGAATACAAAGTTTTCACGCTGTAGCTAGATTACGCTACCAATCCCCATCGGTTGACTGCGTACATACAGGTATGTCTTGACCTTATTTTAAGGCGATACAGAGCACGATCAGGGCTTGTCTCTAAGCTGATATTAAAATGCTCGTAAAATAACCTTTCGATAGTACTGTCTTGAAATCGTCCATACTTTATCCAGATACATTGGTACAATAGATTGACAGTATACGAGTATTCGAGTTCAAGTTGAGCATGGTGACTAATAGACCTTGTTTTCAATCATTTTCAATCCATGGACAGTACTACAGAAAGAGAAGGGAGAGAAATCACATTCTGTCAGCAGATTACCTTGCCAACTATCATCGGTTGACTACATACAGGTATTTCTTGACTTTGTAAACTTTATACAACCGATTTAGAATAGGATCATGACTCGCCCATCACCTAATCTTGAAAGAAAAATAATCTTTTGATTGTATTCAGTCACCTTGTCCACGTTTTTATCTACTGCAGGTGCACACTTATAACGTGTGTCATTAACGTAGTAAAGGATGGATATTTAATATTTTGCATCACTTTCATTCGGTTGTAGACAATTTAATCATAGTTGAAAATTCTGTGGGCTCTTGCAGACTTTCGTATTTTCTGGTCAATTTGACGTCTTGAACGTACTACAGTATACAAATACGTTGTATGGGCAGACGTGTCTTAACTCAATTAGCCTGTACTTTTAGACTGGCAATAGTTGAACTACCATGTCTTCCATCACGCGAAGAAAACCCTCTGATGAGGATAAAAAACAATCTCGTCGACAAATTAGTAAAGTATTAGAAAACTTTCTAAAGCTTAAATTGGAAACTGCTGATAATTATAATCATGCCGCAGTGAGTAGATCTTCCGTTAACAGCTCCGTTGGTGGCGGTATACGTCGTACCGAAATTAGAGAGGTCTCGGCATCAATGCCATCGGTATATCCGCCTCGAATAAGTGCTAGCGTTGAAGTCATTGGTTATAGGAATTCCAGTAGCAATACTACCACAGCCAGGGAACGTTCCAGTTCTGCGTCAAAGAGAGAAAGTTCTGGCTCCGCATCAAAGCGAGAAAGTTCTGGCTCCGCATCAAAGCGAGAACGCTCTGGATCTGCGCCAAAAAGAGAACGCTCTGGATCTGCGTCAAGGAGAGAGCGCTCTGGTTCTGGTACTTCTTCGAGAAGAAAAAGTAAGCTAACTTTGAATTGGAAGAAAGTCAAAAAGCTTTCTGCCCTCATTAACCGAACCGACTCTAAAGTTGATCAGCCACAATCACCTACAGGTCAAGGTAATTGATATCCCGTACTAAAATAAACTAATTGGCCTATACGGCAGTATTGTCAACGTACAGTAGTAACATGGGGAATCATCTTGTGATTATTATATCATTTTAAAGAACGCTGTACAATCACCTGCTCATTTTGCAACGTTAACATAAACTAGACAGATACAATTAGCTGCCACACCATTAAAACAGTTATGATATTACTATCAACAATGATTACAAGTTACCTCCAGTATTAAATTACCATTTTAGAGAATAAAGTTGTCTTGATTCATCGTTAAAAATTACCTCTTAAAAATAATCCCCGTTTCCGAAGATAAATCACGGCACAGTAAAGCTGTTTTTAAATTTTGTTATCTAATAGGATATTGTATGGTTTTGCCATGAGGATTTATTCTATACTTTCTAGTTTTTACTATCGTTAATCTGTAGATTAACCATTTAATGCTATTTGTTTACACCATAATAACTATACTGATAAGATATAGACACAATTTAGTTATTATTTTGAAAGTCTACTTACTGTAGTACACGTACAATAACACGTATTTAGACGTATTACTATCGAATAACACAATCGGAAATGTTGCTTATCCGGCAATGAACCATTTAAGTTTTAAGTTTTAAATTACCTTTTCCGCATAGATAAGTGATTGTTGAGCTGATTGATTGTTAATGTATAAAACGCCGTGAAATATTGATTGATATTGTTCTGATGTATTGATTGCGTCATTAGCTATAGTACAAAAGAATGAAATAAGTGAAAGTTGGAGGAATGGCGATCGCTCTAATTTCTATCAGTATGGTATCTCTGCTGAAGATGATACAGAACCCACAGCAGGGATTAGCACCGAAGAGACGAAGAAAAGTGAAGGCAATGGTACGATTCTAACTATTGTTAAATAATATGTAGAGAGATTATACCAGAAAGTAGGCATCAAAATACAGTCCATCAAATGCTTTTATTATTTCCACTACTCTTTTTGCTTATACTGTATCAGTAGGATGTATCTATAAAATTTATTTACCATTAGCATTCATTGATTGATTTCTATTCATTTTCACGCTACTATACTATAATCTTTATAAAGTACAGTCTCTATGATGTAAAGTGAAATGCCAGTTATTTTTTAAAGTCGCTAAAAGTTACTATTAAATTAATATCCACTTTATCTAATTGAGATTCAACATGCTCAGTAGTCAATAATATCCATTATAGAAAATAAAATGCGATATTAATCCATAAAATCGATGACGAAATTGATAGGAATAACTGCGGTACCAGCTGAATTAACGCGTAGTAAATGGTCTATGCTTAGACAAGTATCTAGAGACAGTTCATGCAACAGTGAAAGAGGAAGCCCTGTAGAAGGAAGCGAAGAAGATAAGAAAATGATGTATGTTGCTCAATGGCTAGCAGCTCTTTCTGAGAGAAATGATTTAAGACTCGCCGATATGGGGCTTGGCAACTGCTCTTATACTACAAAAAAGAAAACATACAAACGATTTCAGAAAATGGCCAGTGAGGCTATCCGCAAAACATCAAATGCAGGTACATTGGTCACTTTTTGTGACGTTGCACTATTAAATCCCCTGGTAGCCTTTCTACCACAACAGTACCGTTATTTGTATAAATTTTTCAAAGAGATTCCAACATAACTTTATGTGAAATGTCTTACTAAGTTGTTTAGCTAAGTAATTTACACAAGATGTTGTATAGAATATTCAGTAATCTATTATTTCTTCCTCTTGTAGAGGTAGTTGGTTCGCCTGAATTATCCTCGCCCCAGCAAATGGCCCAAATCGCTACCGTTTTAGATTTAAGTGGAAGTATCATTTCTGCTTGGGGTAATATTGGTGACTTAGCGGACAAAGTCAAGAAACACACTAAAAAGTTTATACATGACACATTTACTGAATGGATTATCATGCAAGGAGGATGGGTTAGTGGATAAACTTAGCCACGAATATTTCTCGCTTTAATAAATTATGTATTATTGATTCTAATTGGATAAACTTGTCAATGTGATCTTTTATAGGGTTCGTTTGATCCAGCTGTAGACGATTAGCTAGCTGAGATGATTATCTTGACCTTCAAGAGTGTACTTTTCAACTGTCGAGTAAACACAAACACAACATTTATACAATACTCAAAGTTTCAACTAGTGGATACAATACAGTAGTGAAATTAGAATTGCGTAATGCATTCTTAACATGCTGCATTTATTGATTGGCGCGAAGGCATATTTTGCGGTGCAGCTTTTTAAAAAATAAACAGTTTTTGTATTATAGTGTATCAGCATCGTTTCAATGTAATATATGCGCTTACATACCTGTATGTGGCGCTTTTGGAAATGAGTTTAACAAGGACATTTAAACTCTTAAACGATACTTTTATGTGATTTTAAAACTATTACCTGCTCTTGGTTTCGATAATTATCATTTTATCTAATGTATTATAACGATTGGTCTATTTATATATTTGTAACATAGTCAATTTATTATTGAATGCGCTGTAGCAGTAAAAAATGTTTTATTAACATACACGTACTGATATAATATCCAAGGTGTTTACATATGAACATATGCAAGTATACCATTTTAGTTAGGGACAATGTATGGGAAGGTATTACCTTCATATCAATTATTACTTATTAAACACCAATTTAAAAAAATTTCTTGAAGCAGTTTTTATTTTCTGCGTATTTACCATGCAATGAGGTATGCTGGAATTCCCTTACAATTTGTTACTAGTATTACATAACGTATTTCTGTACTCTCGCATTAGTTATTTTAGCTTAAATGCGTCAAATTTGAAAGGTTTTGATAGTATTCAATACAAGTCGATATTATATGGAGCGCTATACAGTAGTTTGCATATCGTATTGTAAAAAATAGTTATTGAATTTTGATTGAGATGACTGCTCGTAAGTACGGCCTACCATAGTAGTCTAGATACAATTAGGAATTATTCTATACTCTACAAACTTTATTTCCATATATTCTACCCTAAAATTATTATATTTTCTATAGTCAACTTTATTTCCATATATTTTATTGTAGATTATCCTCTACATGATTATTTACGACTACAGTGTGCTTCACAGCCCAAGAAGCATTGGATGATATCTATATTACCGTTATTCCGCTATTGAGATGATATTAGCTATTGGTTAATAATTAATACATATAAGCCATTTATTTTTCCGTCTATAACTACGTATAGCAGACTTTTTGCTATTGGCCAGGAGTATTGTCAGACGATAATTAGTGCAATAATTGTACTATATTATTACATATCCTTGTTTGGATATTAGTATAGCACCAATCCATGATCACGTTGCCCATTGAGAGTTTTTCAAGACAGCGTTGAAATAATTGTTATCATACATGCATCTCTCGGGTACGTCTAATGCATTTATTTTGCACTATATTTATATCATTCTAGCGTTCTTTTTAGTATAGTTAGGTAAGTATCACTTTATGGACTAGGAATTATTATCCAGACATGGAAGAAATTATTGTCAAGATTGTATTATATAATTCTATATGAGTGAAGGTCCGAGAGATTTTTTGGCTTAGGGTTTAGCACCAATTGGCAATGACGATATAGAGCGTTGAGTATCTACATACCCTATTTACATATACTAGGCTTTTCAGAATGGTTGAGGAGTAATTCTAGGCAGAAATTAACGCAGTGATTATATTCTATCATTAGGTATCAGTGAAGACGCTAGAGAAGATTTTTAAACAACCCTTGAGCACCAATTCAAGTTGGTGAGCACTATGAATGAGCTCTACAATATACGCGTAAGCAATCTCTGCTTTCATTTCTCTCGAATAGTAATACAGCTGAACTATAGTATCCTTCATTTTATTAGAGTAACTCCTATTTTACAGACTACAGCTGAATTAGATCCTATACAGTAGTCCATAATTCCATGTTTTCCCGAATAGAGAAACGAGAAAAGCATCTCCACGAGATCTTCTTTCCCATTCTACCTTTATTTTTGTACTATTTGGTAGAATGTGCAAATACAGATTGGAACTGATACTGTTGATAGTACTGTGTCCTATAACATAGATCATGATATAGAGTACACTATCACTTTGCAAATCGTTGGATAGCACAAACCCTCTCGATGCACATGCCTAGTGGAAAGGTTCTTTCAAATTCCAAGCTCTAGTTAAGGAGATTGCCTCGAGCAAGCAATAGCTGCCATTGCAAGTGCTATTCGCCAAATTATCCAATTAATTCTACTTGGTCAGGACTATCATTTCTTCCTCATCAAATGACGATTCATTACTGCAATATTAGAGTTATTATTACGTGTTGATACGAACACGTTATAATCAACCTGGCTAGGATAGGATAAAAGCAAATTCTGGACGATTGTGTGTGTATATATCGCGTGGATTGAAAAAAAAAATGGCTGATCCTGATTATGAAGATGTCAATTACCACCGTAAAAGAATGCGATTAGAAGACTCTGGTTAGTGACTACTGCAGACCTGTTTACTGTGTATTTCTGTACTTTCTAGCCTTGTTACTGTTGAGATAATTTCTTTCCATGATTGAATCTGAATACTGTTTATCTCCATGGTGAAAACGTTAACAACTAGCTCAACTTGCAATTAGGATAGCAGCTCTACTTTTTAGCGCATTAACTTAGTGATCGTAGTATCTCCTAGGATGAAATTTATCGATATCACCTAGTCAATATTATTATTGTAGCCAGGGATAAAGCGATTGAATAGCTATGAGTGTATTTCCGTATCCTTTTATGCTATCAGGAGTGATGTTATCATGGCGGGAAAACCACTAGTTACTGGCTCATGACTTCTCATAATCTTCTATCTTCGTATCTACTATGTGTTTAGGAGCGAAGGAATTAGCAATACAGAAGATTGAGGATATTATCACCAACCAGTTTGATACAGAATTACGATATAAGGAGAGGGAAATCGCTACTATTGATCAAGTAAGTGCGTTAATTAAGGTTAACTCATGATCGGTGTAAATCAACATGGAACTGACGTTCGATATTGATATTCTCACAAAACTGAAACGATATCCCTTCCTTTTAGTGTCTACGTTTTCATGAAAAGAGTAAATGAGGTGTAAATCGACACTATGTTCTTCTTAACTTAAACTATCTATATGATATCGAATAATTCTAGTCACCAAAAAGCTAATGGCAAGGCAAGCTACTATTAGGCAATTGTCATATTGCTATACTGACGTGATTAAAATTTCAATCCTACACCTTAATTTAGAAATTAGTGAATGAAGCGGATTAAATGATTAGAGATTGATACTCCTGTATTTCATCAATATCCTGCATAAATGTTTTCTTTATATACTGCCATTACTCGAGCATAAACTTAACTTTTGCTCACTATACACTAACGGCAATGGTGATTATACTCAGTCATGTACCGAATGATGCACAGAATGGACTTTATCCCTCGTAGATTTCAACAAACTTTTCATGATAATCCTTATGCTAAATGTACATTGATATCAGCAGAGCCAATCAAGAATCGAGTTATCTTTTAGCTATATTAACAGTACCTGCGACTTTTATCCAATCATATACAAAATGTAACGACAAATTAAATATCGTCCTACCTGATCAATTCCTATATACGAAGTATATTATTATTGAATCAGATGTAATCAACCCAAGGAGCACCATGCGTAAATGCTCCTGCAAAACCATATTGATCTTTTCTATTGAATAACAGTTGCCACCATGTTTGTGGGATATAACATTTCTTACAATTAAGTTGTAATTAAAGCCCTTTACTGATCCTTGGAAGATTAAGCAATAGCTTAATTATTGACTAATGTTGCATGAGATTTGTGCAATAGACGATAGTGAATCAGATTACAATTCAACCCGTCTTATGCGATGGTTTTCTAACAGCAAATTGATTTAATTATGTAGAGGATTTACCAGGTTCGAGCAATGTTGGATAAAATAAGAGCCTGTATCATCGCCAAATTTTATGGTACTCCGAAACCTCTGGAACAGTTAACGGATCGTACAGCAACAGACCCTGATACAGCCGAAAATGAGGATATAATTAGTCGCAATTTGAGCTCGCAAAAGCTAACATTTATTAACCCCAATCACCCTGCCGAATCAATTGTAAAAGAAGCTAGATTACAGAATTCGACAGCTACTAAAACTACGCAGGTAAAATTACTATGCGTATAGTACTTATAAATTGACGTTACAAATATTATAGCAAGAAATTCTTCTATCTTTATAATTACGATAATAGCTTGACTGTATATAATGATTCGCTATTTTTACTCCTATGATACTTAAAGTATCTGATCATCATTTTATGCTTAAACTCTGTCGTAAATACTATATCTTGCCTCCTGGATGATTGGTATTGCACTCGTTGAGATAACGTACTTTTGCGCAAATGTGCAATAGATTATATTATATCACAGATCCTATAATAATGTCCTAAGTAAAGTTAAGACGAGATAAATCATTCATCTTATATTGACAAGGCATGTAGAGACAACATTCAATCTTATGTAGTCAGCTGATTACTTTATGAATTTCGTCACTGCGTTATACTACATTTAAAGTAAGGAACCTTGAACTGATTTAAGTGCTTGACAGTGATTTTTCTGATCCTCTTTAAACTCTAGGAATCTAAGGCTATTCAAGAGAGATGTACGTAATATTAATAAATGTAAAATATTGCAAATAATTACCCTAAAAGTATTTACAAAAAATGCTTTCTAACGACATTTGTTGTATTAAAATCTCTACGAGTTAATAAAATCATTTTTAATAAAGCATCTAGAAATGAAGGCGACATTAGTTCTAGATTTTATACCAAAAAGCGAATTATCATCGGCAACACCTCGAAATATATACCATTAGATCAACGTGATGAACATAATCAATCGACACATAAGTGGATGGTATACGTTAGAGGCACAGAAGAGGTGGTAAACTATTTCGTTTTTAATATTACTAATACAATTTTATCTTACAACAAGAATTAAAATACCATTATCCTCGCATATACAGTACTTATGTTATTATTATGACTTATTATTATAATTTATAACAAAATATTACCTTATTGTTACGCTATTAACATAAATGATGATGTCCTTTGATCGCAGGAACCTGAAATTCATCAGTTCGTAAAGTGTGTTTGGTTTTTCTTACATCCGAGTTATAGACCAAATGACTTGGTTAAAGTCAAGTGAGTTGATCTAATTTAGCGTCTTGTTTTACCCTATACACATGAAGCAGCCAGAAACTGTGATGATTACTAAACCTACTATATTTATTTGTTAGTCAGCCACCGTTTCATTTAACTAGAAGAGGTTGGGGAGAATTCCCAGTACGTGTTCAACTCCATTTTGTCGATTCTCATAATAAGAGAGTTGATGTAATTCATCATTTGAAGGTAATACTCGGATGGAAATTTATAAAGATAAAATGTGCATCTGTTTTACTTATTACATAAATACTAGGGTTGTAGTACTATATTCCTATTAAACATCCTTCACGCTTACGTAATTACAATAGCTCGATCGTACTTATACTGGCCTTCAAACTCTTGGTTCTGAAACGGTAGAATCTAGCATATTCTTTGCATTATATATATATATATCGCGGTGTCTACAGATACTTTTTAACTATTTTCATGTGTTATTGATGAATTAATACAAAGATTGTCGACGTGGAATTATACCATGAATGGAAAACAGATGTTGATACTGTCAGCAACGCACCGGTAAGCCCTGATAATCTTGATGAAATTGTGGATGAGCTGATTTCAAAAGATAGTAATCCCGAAATCGTTGGTGACAACGATATGTTTGAACAAGTTACGTCTCCTGATACATTCAAGTAAGGACTCTTTTTCGTCTTCACAAAAATATTTAGTTTACATTTCAATATGATCTTAAAACAATTATTAGATATGAACCAGAAATTGAGACAAAGTTTGATTTGGAGCAATTACTAGAAGAAGGGGCTAAAGTTTATCAGTTAATATCTGGTACGGAAATTTGAAATTCCTTTAATCAAAGGAATGAAATTGCTTTTCAAGAAGTTGTTCTTTATTAACGTATCACCCTTTCCCTATTATTAGAAAATTCGACTCCTCTTTCACAACCTTACTGTGCGAAGAATTGTGAAACTTTTTTTTCGTGGAACATTGGAAAACGAAGAGCAGCAGAGGTTACTATCCATATTGAATACCTAACGCTTTATCACACCTTTGAGATTATATCTTAATATAACCATCTTGGTATATTTGTAGTGGCAAAGAGCGATTGATATGAAAAAATTTATTGGATCGCATAGCCCCGGTCTAGTGCAACTACCAACTACCAAGCAGATTACGATTTGGTGTCGTCAACATGGATACACACCTGTAGACTTGAATAGCAAGCGAGATGGAGGTATAGCTAACTTCTGTCACATATGTGGTCGACTTCTTTATACTGGGAATCAGCAGGTATAATATATATTCGATGAGAAAAATTTATTTTCATACAAGAAAGTACGAAATAACAACAGTATAGTATTATCATCGATTTTGACTTCTGACGCGTTAATTTGAAGGAGTTTAAGGAGAATATGAAGACTAATCACGTCTGTAAGACTTCATTCGATTTACTAGGTAAGCACCGTAAAATTTAATTGCATACTAATCCGTTCGCTGGTGTGTATATCCAGCGCAAGCTATATTTTACCGAAATGTATTTCAAAGCAACCGATTGTTTTTATTCTTATAAAGATACATGCACCTTAAGTACAGCGGATAATTTGCTTACTAAACTGGCAAAAAAGGCTAAAAAAATGAAAATGAATGGTACAAATAAATGTTCCAACCATAAAATTGAGTCATATTATCGATATTGTTTCCTTGCAATGTAAAGTGCCACATATTATATTTTTGCAGCATATGATAATGAAGCTATTACAGAGATTAATGTAGTCGACAACAGTGAAGCACATGAAAGTATTGATAATAAGAGGACGGTAATAGAATCAGAAAATCAGGAAGTATCTATCCCACCACTTCCACCAGAATTGCAGTGGATACGTGATACTTCAAAAGAAATTGTAAGCGATAATACTTTATATTGCATGTAATTGATTTAATTTAATATCTAAGAATTATAAATATACTTTGCCACTTTATTAGATCGGCGTCGATTTTCAAACAGTAAAGAAAGGTGATGTAGAAACTCCATTAAGTGAACGTATCATTTTCGAGGTATCTATTGCTGCCATAGTTGAAAACATACGATGAAACTTTAGTGTTCAGAGAGTTATTGAATCATAGGTGTATTCATCACTGTATACATTTCTTTATTATGGTAATTTACTAGGCATGTAAGGGATTTATCAAACATATATTGAGGAAATCTGTTGCCGTAGCTGCGAAGGGTTCCTCTTCTTCAGTGTAAGATATTGAAGGACAATTGCTTTCATAGTTTGCGAATATCTACTGTTAAATATAATCTGTAATTACTAGCTTTCATCTATTTTGATACAGCATAGACTATGTTCTGGTTCCATCTCATATTCATGCTGCAATCAAAGAAATTGAGAATTGCGATTTCATTACCAAAAGCTGCTTGGGTCAAGAAATTGCTGCCATCAATGAACTTGAATCATAATGCTTGCCTCTTGGGAATTATATGAAATTTTTTATCACGTTGATATCGTAGCTTGTTATACGAGTACGTTTTTAGATAATTGATTGCAGGCTTATGAAAAAAGAATACCAAATGTAAATATAGTCTGGTTTAATGTGATTTATGAGATTGTAACAAGTGATTGATTGTCATTAATGACATTCGTTTTGACTATATTAATCGCAATGTAAATTACATGACTCTTCAACAATGTATTATCAATGTACCGTTAAACCTAATATTGTAATATAGTATAACTCAACATATGATTGTATATACAGTATCAGTTAGGTCCATTAAATTTACTCTGTCGAATAACTGTAATTGTGTTTTAGTACTCTGCAAATAAATTCTAACCGACAGAAGTTTCTGTCATTGGCCAAATTACCAATTAAGGTAGCTATACTGGGATGACAATTATTGATTAGAAAATATAATGAAGAACTTATTTTTTTAATCATTTAACTTTCTAATATCGACTACACAACAGAATAAGAAAAATCCATTAAAAATATGATGTCTCAAGCAGAAAATTTCAAAATTTGATAGCTTAACTTCAAATAATTACTGATAATCCTGAATAGATCGAATAGCAGATAAAAGAAATATTTATCAACACAACCCTTTTTTTCTGATCAATATTTTATACAACTTACAAAATAGCGAATTGAAGCAGAAGATACAAAACGTTTAATACATAAAGAACATATTCGTAAATTACATAATTATGCATTCTTTTGATATTACGTATATACCAGTTTCAATACCAACGCATATGACGCGTAATGGCAATTTTTTTGCAGTAAAAAATAAATACAACGTCATAATATAACAATTTCATTTAGTTCACTGTAAATTATACAAATTCTTTTTTGCCACAGTTTTATGTCTGTAATGTAGCAATCAATTCATAAGATTATACAATATCATAAACTCACAAATTCTAGTAGATGTCAAGACGTCACAGTAATACCGTACAGCAACGAATAATTAGCCAATGTTTTTAATCGGCAAATCGTACAGAAATAATTTTATAAATACAATATTCAGGATCTTATAAATATGACCTAAAAACATGCTTCTTGTAAACCATTATCTGAAAGATTATGAGAAAGAAAAGTAAAGATTAGAACCATTAGTACTCCCTACATTACTACATCTGTAAAAGGGATTGTAAAATGTATAACGTAACATTCAAATTAAAAATCTCTGATGGATAAATATCCTGATCATTAATGTCGTATTATCATAATATTATTATACGGAAACTGGAACATGTCCATTAGCATCTGTAGGATTGCCTAGGCCATAACTAGTTGATTTCAAAGGACTACCTGAAGATTTTGCCGTTACATTAGGAATAACCGTAGTTTTGTGATTATCCTTTGTGTTATGGCGAATATTGTCGCCAGGATCATCGGGTTCGTTTGCATTTGGTGGCGCAACCGGATCATCATTGTTATACATTGCGTTAATGCTTTCCTTAAAACTATTATTTCTTTTCATTCGAGGATGCTTATAATTTATATCGCGAATATGTCTGGAAAAATTAACTCGAGACGTAAATTCATCTATGTTTCTAGGAGGTGGAGGAGCTTGTTCTGTTATTTGAGATGGTCCAGGATGGTCTAAGCCATTTCGCCGAAGTTCTAGCATTGTTGCTTGCAACATTTCCATAATTTCATCATCGTTGAAGTTATGATTCTCCATAGTTTGCAAATGAGACATTGCTTCATCAAAGCTCATTTTAGATAATTGTTCTGAAATTGGTATCGAATATAATTAGATAAGTCAAGTGATTATAAAATAAAAATATGGAAACTAATTAGCACACGTATACAAAAACGAAACGCTAATCACTTATTAGCTTACTCTTGTATAGCTTAATAACCAAGAACGCCATGGCAATAGGAACTCTATCGCCATCAAATATAAAAGCATCCCAAACTCTCAGAGTTAACGAAAAAGGCAACTAGGATGAAATCCAAATAACAATAAGAATTTACGTTCGAAGATGGTAATATTAAATAATCATGGATTGATTGATCTATTGATACAAGCGATATTATAGTTAAAAAGTGCAATTTTAAATATGGGTAAATCTTTTGCAGACCCTATCAAGGAAGCATTGTAAAAACCATTTCATTGAATATATTCTAGCGTCGACTTCAATTTTTTTCTGCAAAAGTAATACATATTCTGAACTTACTCTTTGATAACAAGAAATTCTGTTAAGGACAGACAATAATAACTGTAATAATTGGTGTAACTGTCGATAGCACTCTTAACTTACAAGATGCTTGTGAAGTTTTGTTAAAAGTTTTTTACAAATTTTTTCATGATGCTCTTGAAGTCTGAGTAATTTTGGAAATCCAGGCTTGAATAACCCTATGATAAATACAGGTCAATTAATAAAATGTGTCTTTAGATCTTGTATAATTTTAGCGCAAGTTATAAATAATCACCGTGCATTCCATGCATTCTATCAGAAAGGAGACAAGATAAAGCCCAGAAAGCATCCTAGACAGTATTCGGACGAAATTAAATCAGATTAAACCCGTAATTTGCACTCGTAAACTGCAAACTTAAATAAGACTAGTACCTCTTCATTAAAGTACATCAGCAACAGAGCTGCAATACCACTCATTCCTTGACAATAACCAACTTCCTGTAAGGATATTTTATTGCATAAGTGCACAAGCAGAGGAATACTATGTATCTTTGTACATGTGTATTATGTTACAGTAATGATATCTATACTAAAGCACATCAAAAAACAATATTTTCGAAATGTTAGGAATAATTACCGTGTTATACATCGAATATGTGGCAAGTACATGAAATAGAGCCTGTTGCCTTAAGTACAATAAAAGATAAATTTTAGTGATATAATAAAGTTACAATGCGTGATAAACTAGTGAATAGAAAACATAAGTTTTTATTGAAGGAAACAATTTACTAGTTAAATATCTCCATCAAAGTGCACTCATTGAAATCTATAAATTTTTTATAATTCTTAGCAAGAAAGATATGACTATGCTTTATATTGAACAAATTACCGTAAGTGCTCTCTAATATTATGAATTTGATTACTTTACCGCAGGAAGTGGAGGAATACTTACTTTATACCATAACGATCACGAAACATGATGTGATTACGATATGTTCGGTTAACGTCCAAATCAATCTGCCTTATATCGGGAGAAGTACGTCTAGCCAATAGTTTAGCTTGCTGGGAAATAAAAGTAATAAAACCAATGCAATAATCAATGAATGATAATTATGCTTTAAATTATCACAACTTCTGACAATTTCAGCAATAGCAGGCCCTAATCATACTTGATGTATGTAGGTACTACATGCAGAATCATATATAGGTTAAAAATCAACTTAGATAATCTTATTTTTAATAAGAAAATGACCCTATACCTAGTATAACTTTTTGTATAAGAGAAATCCTTCACTTACATCATAGAAGCCTTCTTTATTTAATTTGATTTTATCTAAGCGTAGAATTTGACTCCATGCCTGACTACGTAGAGAATTCGGTATACCCTTATAAACTCGGTTACGCAACTAGAAGGTTTCGAAAATTATGAGATAAAAATTGTTCTTAATTAAAGTACGAGTGTATCCATTCGATAATGGTATAAGGCGCTCAGAAAAATTACAAATTTGGATAGCTATTATTAGTAGCATTCGATAATTAAAAAATAATCGCTTTGGTTAAATAATTAATATTCAGATATGTATTTATGATGAGTAATTGAAATAAAACGAGAAAAAATTGCATTACTGAACCTTACTATTTAGCTGTTGATAATCACAATTTACGAATAAGGCGTTAACCTATGCATGTTATATACAGTATTTTGTTTTTGACTACGAAATTAACCTTAATTTTTAAGAATAATGTTATAATTCTATCAACCTTATCAGAAAGAAGCGATTTATCCCAATTTTTTAACATTTTTAACCATTTAATTTCTCTTGACCGTTCGATTAGCAATGCTTTCGCTTCTAACTCCGTACGTTTGGGTAGGGGCTCCTTGCTATTTGATAAGTAATTGTCGAAATAACGTTTAGTACTTAATATTTTGGATTACAATATAAGCTTAAGATATAATCATATGTGCGTCCTCTATGTAAAATGCTTTAATCAATTCAGTTTAATTAATTAATCCGCGAATATTAAGGGCAATAATGTATGGAGTATGATTGAAGACTGAATATTTCTACGTGATCATCAGGCATGGTAACACTACCTAAGTTATTTGATTTGATACGTTAATTTTTACACTTGCATACATTTAAGGCCAGGATTACTTCATTTAAATTAGTACGGCCATTCAAGCTCACTATCAATAACTACAACAAACGCTGTGAATAATAAAGAGCTTACTGTAAAAAACCATAACGATCGGTGACTTTATAAACAAAGAAATCGGCATCTTCCCATGGATCAATTTCTGCACCTTCTTCTCGTCCCTTTGATTGATATTGATGATAATGTGTAAAAATGGCGATATTTTTGATATTATTTTATTAGTAAAAGTACATAAAGTTAATATTAAAATTTCAAGTTAATTAATATCGATGTTTAATAGTCTCATTTCTTCTTATTCTGTGGAAACTGATTTCAAAATAGAGTATCCATAATATATCCAGTTTAGTACAGTACTGGGATGTTGCTTATTACATTATTATCGACAATAAGCGATTATAACTGTACGATGTCAAGGACTATTCTACCATAAGACATAAAGAAACTTGTGTAATACACGTATACTGCAGCTGGCATATTTAATTATAATAAAATCTGTTACGTGTGTTAGAGACATTAACACTGCCTCTAAGGTAAACAATTCTTCGTTTAATTTAGTATTATTTAGCATTAATTGTAGGTAGAAAAGGCATACTCAAGCATCACTTATACAAAACATTCTTTTGTAGGGCTACCTCACCTTATCGTACTTGGCTACAATGGCAGCTCTATCACGATCGGCTTCATCATAATCGGAGGCCATTTTGGTATATCAACAATCTGCCAATTGATTACATAAAAAATGCAAGGCCAATACTTTAATTTATTATATTAACCAATACTACTGTATATTAGATGAATTATATATATATTATCTAACAATCTTTTTATCATTCAGTAGCAGATTGAACAATGCTATGATACATTAACTTATATCAAAAATACTGCAAACATTTTACGCGTGATAGGTATAAAAAATAATGCAGTGAGACCATAACGAAAAGCTATATGGAGTTATGTAATCAAGTAACGACTATTGCAATGTTAGAAGATAATCCGCGAAGCTGGAATTCAATTGCCAATGGTAATCGTATAGTATATTATACTTGTATATAAAAAAAGTGACGACATCCGTTAGCGTACGCCAATGGGAATGTGTTTAAACCAAGTTAAAAATAATACGTACGAATATAAATGTTGTTTTATTGCCGATATAAGAATGATCATGATCGATTTCGCATAGAGACAGAAATTTACGTGGTATGTGAGAAAATGACCTACAGTATGTAGAAGATACTGTGATTCCAGATATAGGCGTGTTTACTAGCTCAGGAATATACTGTAGTAATGGGCAAAATGCTGTTCACAGTTCATCGACCGTTATGTATGAACCAGACTAAATAGGATAAAAAACGCATTTGATACATTAATCTTTGATAGTAGTAAAACAGAATTAAAAGCTAATACACGTAACGTAATTGATCCTTTTCATCCCATTATTATAATACTGTGGGTCTGTAGCCATGAACTAATTGATCTAGTCCAAATTGAAGCTTGCCAAATTAATGAGTAAGTATAAATAATTTAACTCATTCTTCAGGTGTATTTGCAACAGAATTTTAAGATGAAGGCGCACTCTGATGGCGTGCTAGTGGAAATAATTTACTAAACTTTACTATGCGTAATAAGCTTGTATTCTAAGTCAATATCTTTGAGATCTCAGTATATGTTGACTCGTCAGAACATCAATGCTTTTAAATCATTTGCAGCACTGTCTGCCCCGAATATGCAGCACGCACAGGTAGTCCATTATTATGAGCTTCTCTCAATTGTAAAGTAGCGGTAGTATGTTTCATCCGCATTTAGTAGATATTACTAAGAGGACATGGAAGACAATTGATCTTTCATTCTTAAATGTTAGGTCTAGTTGTGTGATGAATAAGCTTATATATTCGATATACGCGTGCACAAGTTGTAAAAGTGCAACGTTGTCGTGACACAAAATACATACTATAATTTCTGCTATACCCTCTATATTCAGCTTTCCTGTTAAAACTTGAACAAAAGTTAAATCAGACAGACATGATATGACAAAATTATATCATAGCATGGGCTCTAGTGCCAGCAATGGTCAGCTATGATGAAAAGGAATTAATATCGCTCATCCTTTTTCTCGTATACTCAGCGGTCTTTTTATGTACTGTATTGTATAGTGTCTTGTTAATATTTATCAGTAAAAAATTCAATCATTCAATACTGAATTAGAGATATAGTGTCATTTAGAATGTATCTATATTACCATATGTATTACACAATTCGAATGGTTTTTACCTGGAAAAATACAGTAGTAGGCAAGACACAAGTTGATTTTCGACTGCACTAAAGCCTCCTGTGTATAGTACACGCATGCATCGTCCATATTTGATCATCCTACGCGTAGGTGTATACTGTACTCAGTGTACTGTACGTATAGTAGTAATAGTTATGTCATAGTATATATTTACAAGTATAATTAATCTATCGTCTCGACATTCTCATATACTGTTCATGTTTTTAGGCGTTTTATAGCATTTGAGTAGGTCAATACTGTCCATCTTTGAGTAAGAAATTGAATCATTCGTGGTGAGACTGGTCCGTCATCATAATCAGTCATTTTTTCCTCTTTCAGAGACTACTGTACTGTACATTGCATCATGAGAATGACTTATTCATTATTGTCCAAAATGTACTGTAGTCGAGGAATCGAGGGAGTCAATATTAAAATCTTGTTCACCACCTTCTTGCATATTCAACATGGAACTATCACCTAGTAATTTCATAACTTGGCAAGTCATACTTCGGCATAATAAAAATTAAAAGTACAGCAGTACAGTGCAGAAGTTTACTTTAGGCTGTCCGATTGGTCGATTGATTTAGGTACGTCTGCAATGGGTAGTACAGCAATGGAACAAGATCAAGATTGATTGCCTTGACTAAATCTTTAGTAGGAGTACGTTAGTTATGATTGTGATTTCATTTCTTTCGACAATTTTTCTCCAACTACATTAAGTGTAAACTTAAAAATGAGATTGAATATCGTGTATACTAGATGAAAGTAAACTCAAATTGACGTATAGAAATGGCTATCAGTATGGCACGAAATCAAAAGCGAGGTGAAAAAAGCAAATTCCGTTGACAGTAATTCTTCCTCTTACCTCTCAATCAACTAGAAATGGTAGTATAGATGTTACCAGATCAAACAGGAGATACTATACAATAAAATTTCTCAGAAATGTACTTGAAAATTTCATTTCAATGATTTTAGAATGGCTTGGAAAGGAACGTTGAAAGGAAAGGAAAAATTCAATTTTCAATGTCCGACGCAATAGTGAAATTTCTACAGTCACTGTCGTGAACCCAAGGGATAATTGTTTTAGTAAGGTAAGGCTCTATGGCTTTGCACACTGAGTACTGTATTGTGTGTGCAATACTGTAATATCAAGTCGAGTCAGTGCAGTGATCAGTTGAAGCGTACGATACCAGTTAGATAAAGGTGGTGGCTGAGTCTGCTCAACGGCAAACGACGCTCTCAGCACCGCCCAGCAACGTCAACAATGTGGGCACCAAGTGTGACACCCATACTGGGTTGACCCAAGACGATTGAACAACGGGTTATGAGTCAGAAGAGTTTCGTACAATCAATGTACACTTGTACAGAACAGTGCAGTACTGTAGTTGGTCTACTGTACTATTATAATACTGTACTGTACAGTACAGTATATGATTTTCGGGACTTGCGAGGAGCTGCGCATGAGTAGTGACTTCGTGTGATGGGTAGACTTAATACAAAATGGTATTGACTATAGGAATCTCTTTTTCTTCATACAAACTTTTGCAGAGTTGACAGCAGAAAGATGGAGTTCTGGACTGGACGACTAAATCTTAATCTTATCGCTAAGATTTAGTAACCATGGCAGTAAGATACGAAAGGTATCCGCAATCAGAAATGTAGCTGTCGCATCCAGCTCTTCCGAATATTGTACAGTATTGACAATATGATAGTGACTTGTCAGTGTTAGTAAACTTCCATCGACTTTCTTGATGGTAAACTTTAAATGTAGAATGGTATGGTTCTTTCATACAAACGTGCAAAGTAACAGTAGGGGATACTGTAGAACCCAAGGTAGCAGAAATCTAGCAGTACAATACTGTACAATGGACTTCGAGGTATCGAGAAATCCGTGATAGGACTGTAGATCTCGAAGATCTACAAGCCCATGGCTGTATGGCTGGCCGTACAGTCAGTTTACAGTAAGACAAATATCGTTCTAAATCGTAAACGCAAATCCGAAAGAGATTACTGAGAATTTCACCATGGAAATCTTAACGTAGTATAATTACCGTAGTATAAATTAATACCAATCCCGTTTTCCTCTTTACAAGTCCCTGACTGAGTTTACGTAAAGACGTCAATTTCCTTAGGAAGGGCCATGGACTTTGGACTTCGAATGACAGACAGTACAGCATAGCAACAAAGAAATACTTCTCACAAATTATCATGCTGATCAATTGGCGTCATTAGCATACGATAAATAATATACATTTGTTATCAACATAATGGCTTATAAAGGAATTAAACACTCATAAAATAATGAGTTAACTACTTTTTATTCCTATGTTTGATATTTTATAAAGTTTTTCTTATATCTCTGTACTGTGTGAAAGCAGGCCAAAAATTTTTAAAATGCAGGAAAGCAAGTAAAAAAACCTTTTACGCCTGTAGCCCAGTGACTAGAAGCGATAAGCTAAGTCTGATTGAATATCAATATAATAGCGAGACTTTTTTTCATAGGAATGCATGTCATTATATTATTATAGTTAGAATCTAGTGTGCCTTGACAATTCCGATGCTAGCTTAGGTATTTAATACATAAGAGTACCTGTGGCAAAAAAATAACACTTAACCGAATGCACTTGATGGGCAATTGGACATGAGTCATTTTGATATCATTTAGTCAATTTCTTTGTGTAAGCTACACACGCTAATCCTGCTCAAATTGATCACTATGCAACTTTGCAATAGAGTGGACAACGCAAAGTATATTTTTCATCTGCCACATCCATGACAGGATGTACCGTACTAATTTATTGCCTTCAAAATTGCAGTAAACAAAAGCAGTACGTAGTATTAAACGAGACTAGTTATGCGTAAAATCAAATAAGTCTATTTCTTTAAATATCCAAAGAATTCGTAATTCCTTATTAGGTATCAATAAGAAGGTTAATACATCAACTATTATATGCTTTATATTTTATTTTAATGTACTTCCTGATTCAAGCCGCACTATCTGATTCCTTTTGGTTAATCAATTAATTCTGTAATTACTATAGCACAATACAAATTTTTAAAATAGGTGAATTTGATAATAATATCTCATCAAACAGCCAGTTACTGGAATAAAAACAGTAATATGATAACAGAATAATTAAAAATAATCATCATTATATAATATTTCTATGCATGGCCATAAGCATGTAGAATTTAGCATACAAAAAATTGCAATCTTTGCACACGTACAATATCACGCAAATTGCAGAGTTCATTGTGAACGCTTATACGCAGTCGTTAGTTTAGCTTCAATTTCGGTTAAATGGAATCTTTGACCTTTTTTAGCCTATCAAGCTTAAGTTAATGCTTCATTCTGTTGCCACAGAAGAGACAGTACATCAATCAAACTGTGGCATACAAGCAAGTTGTATATTATAATTTGTTTGTCGCACCCAATAAGGTACATAAATTTGATCAATTGAATTTTAAAATAATTTACTATCAAAGCAAAGGAACAATTGATTAAAAAGTGAGCATGTAAAAGTAGATAAACAGTATTACTTTACATAATGCAATATATTAATTTAAGCTCCTTCTAGATTGATTACCAATATAGATCCTGCGAGCAATATCGTTGAGTAATAATTGTTTATCCGGTTTAGTGACACCATGAAGTGCCAAGGTTTGATCAACATACCTTTTAGTAATATTACGTTGAAGAGGCCTACTATCGAAACGAAAGTGCAGGTTACTTATCGGTTGAATACCACTTTTATATGCTAATAAACCGATGTAAACATCATCGATACCAGGTAGTTTTTCGATATAATTTGTAGCATCCAACATCTTCCGTAGTGCTTGTCCAGACATAATATTAGCAAAACCAGAGCAGTAAGGCGGAAACAAGCCCCATCTATAATGCTCATGAGATACATAATACTTACTTCTAATATTTCTGATAGGTCTTCGGTTGTCATAACTAACAAAGCCAACCCAATGATTATCATAAACCTCGGGAACACTGGTGTTCAAATGAGTTATATAATCATAGATACGCCATTTGTTAACCCAAACATCATCATCTCCTTTATAGAAAAACTTTGGTTGACAGTATTTAGAGGCCCAATGCATACCAGTGACCGTTTTATCCGTTAAACTATGATGACTTTCTAAAGAGTTAAGGATTATCATATCACCATGATATGATGCCTCATGATTTACCCGAACATCTCGCTCCCGATCACCAGTTAAACCCACTATGAAAACGGTTTTCCAAGTTTCATTATTATTCCCATTCAACCATATATTGGATGCCCAACTTTTGCGAATGCCATTGCGTCTACTATGATGCTTCGCGTGGCTGTTGATGGCTAAAAATAATAGTGTCGAGGTTCGACATGGTGGAGGCTGAAATTCTATAAGTTTCATACAATCGTTACCATGTCTGATAGGATATATATGGAATACTGGTAATTGCGCTGGCTGAAAGTCTAACCACATGTATTTAGCTTGCAATCGAAGGCCAAATCTCGTGGTATATATAATATAGAGATATGTTCTAAAAATGGCTATAACTATAAATACAGCAATATACTTTCGAATAACCACCGATCTTGGCATGCTGTCATGTACATTAATTTATAGTATATACTCGTATAAGCCTAGATAAATATATCAATCAACCTTTACTTTTATTTGTATTGGAACATAAAGATGATATAATACGTCCTTCCACAGCTTTAACTTTCCCTATCCCAGTGCTACACGTAAGGTGAAAGAATAACTTAAAGCATGATGGAGTATAAATTATTAATATGCTTTCAGTTTATAATACGGATATGATTGTAGTATTGGCAATCCTGGAAAGAATTTTGCCGATAGAGGATATTAATTTTTTTACAATTAGAAATGAATAAAACAAACATCTCAACCTTCAATATCTCATTCTCTATCCAATAAAACTGCAAAATTGCGATTCGCTGCTAAACCTTATCAGTACAGTACAGTGAGTGTCGCAACTGTCCACGGAATAGTAAATGATCATCATACTCTACGGTGTGAGCGTATGTACAGCACTTGTTAGGGACTGCACTACTCAATTACTAAATATCGTACACGTATTTAAAGAAGAGAAAATTTAAAATTGGCCCTCTTGCTGATTATTAGCCTGCAAAGAACAAATGTACCGTACAATAAGGTATTACGGATGTATCCTAGACATGTTCACGGGCCAATCGTTTCTCAATAACTACAAATTATCCAACTATTATATCAGTAATTAAAACAAATTGATATTATCCATTTACTTCATTTACTCTTTAAACATTTTCACAGCTGAAAAAGCACTTACACAGAACGATAAATTATTAGGGACCATATCGGTTTGCAGAAGATTAACTACTGACAGCCGGTTATTCGACATTCCCCAAACCAGCAGGCAGTCCAGTTCGACTAGGCTCTGTTTCTCTCGCTTTGCAAGAACTTCAATTAATGCGCGTGTACTATCCAATTACCGAACGAATAAACAAGGTTGTAGTAGTTCTCACCACTATGCTGTACAGTGTACAGTATTCATCAGACTACTGTCTAATATCAGAAATTGCCTATAGAACAGTCGAGAAAATAAGGCTACTTAATCTACCCAAAGTGTTTCCTTCATTTTTATTTCCGTAAGCCATCAAACAAATATTGTAGTAGTGTGATTGTGACCATAGAGCATCGGTGATACTTAGGGTGAGATAATACAACACAATGCAGTATGACATTAACCTTTAAGGGTTAAAGTACTAGGGACTTGTCTTTTACTGAGTAAAATCCCCTGACGTACTCGTCAGTACGGTGTCCTGTACTGTACTTTCATGCTGAATACTATACGGCACATCTCTGGAAATAGAAAGAAAAACTTCCGAGTAAGCATAGTAACTCCACCACTATACTTCGAATTATATTATAATACAGTATAATATAATGTAGATCTTTATAATTAATTAATTATTAATACTTTTATTCTAGTAGCTTATGCGACAGTGCAACTGCAGAAGTCGATGTAAAGATCTTGATCTAAGTGGATGCTGCAAAACAATAACCTATTGTAGACTGAGCATGACCGGCTTTCTTTTCATTGGTCGACTCTTTTGTGTTTCTTTCAGTAGGTCAAAGAAAAGTTCTTCGCCATAGATATACAGACGCACGGACGCGCATACCATTTCTTCTTTGTAGTCAAGTTAGAGACGATGAAGTGGACCGCACCGCAACGGTACGGATTATAAATAATTAATTAATTACAACACTAATTAATTATTTATTCTAATTCAGTATTTTCAATGATAATTATTATTGCTATTACAAATTACTTTCTAAACACGTCGACGAGCTTCTCTAATATTGCTCAATCTAGTCGGCAATAGGAGTAGAAATCATCTACCTAGGAGATTATCAATTCAAAGGCGTAGCTAGTAGTTTTACTTGTTCTCAATGCGAAGGAGCCAGGCATCCTGCTGAAGAATATAGCATACCGTATGGTAGTAGGGATCGATCAACGCCGCCACGGTTGTTGTTCTACGGTTATAGAGTACTACATCTGTACGTATTGTTGTGCTATATATTGAGACTGTCTAATTCTATCATTTTAAATCAGTTCATTGATGATTAGTTATCTCATAAATGTCCCATTTTTCCACTACGTTAAGCGATCAAAAAGAATTTTCTTACCCTTTGTCATTGTAAATGTTATACTGTATGCCCGTGAACACATTCAATTAAGCGCATTTAAAGGTAAATCTTTCTCACACCATATGTAATATACTGTCCTTAAAAATGAAAAATATTCAAAGTATCCTTATGTTAAAAGGAATGTGCATAGCTTACTTAGGGTATAGAAGTAGTCAAACCATCATTCCCTAGACTATAGTATAGTCATTTATCATTATTGTAGTACGATGAGATATTCTTGTATGTTAAACCGTCTATTTGGCCGTAATAATACGTACAATACTACTTTGATAGTGGTCAATGTGCTGTCCAGCACAACAATAGTCGTGAACAATTTTACAACTGTCCATGTCATATTGAACAGGCTATAGCAACCGAGCATGATTATTTTTATTTTAATATTGACTAGTGGGTATGACAAGCACTTACTGTAAGTTCAATATTATATACTCGTATAATCATATAATTTCATTCATTCCATAGAAGGAATCCGACTCATTCATACTCAGTTACAACTTGCACTTTCATGGAATTTATTTCAAATTAGTTCCATTAAATGAATGACAGGCCACTATCTGATCCATTTCAGAGATTTTACTGGCAAATCCAATTTGATAGTAGAAGGATATTGTATTAATAAAAAGAAATGGTATTTCAATAATCATGGTGATAGCGTGCAAGCAATAAATGATATCCTGAAGGCCAAAAATCTCAAGGTATTGTCTCAAAAAAACAATACAAGTAATATTGATCATATTGATACCTTGGTCTTTGTGATTACAGACAATTATTAAAATAAAATACACATTTTGTTATTTTTCAAGTTTACAGACAATGTTGTAGTACTGCAGGACGTAGACTGGCTATGATAATATTGCAATACATCATAGAATGTATAGAAAGTAATTTCCTTTCAAACTGATTTTATCAAACTATATAACTACAGTATTATAGTAGCATACTGTCAAAGTAGATTTATGAGCAGTGAAGATTATCTGCTTGCTTCAGAATTGAAAGAAGGTTATCAAAAATGAAAATGTAACAATTCTACTTCCTAGATGCCGAAGGGTGGACATTTTGGTCGTATTCTTTCGTGGCGAAGGCTAATAGCAGTATTATTATTCTTGATCGTTACAAAAATTTATGGTGATTTTATTTGTAGCTTCAAAGTGACAAATTGGAATAAGAAAGCTACTGAGATTAAAAATAATAAGCCCAAACCCACAATAATTACAAAACTTCCGAAAAAACAAGAAAGTGAATTGCCAACCTTTGAAGCTGAACCTAAATATGACATTACAAAATTCATCACTGAAAATTCCACTCAGCCACAACCATGCTTTAAACCGGCTTTCTTCCTATTAGCAATTAATAGCCATACATACCATTATAAACGACGAAAAGGTATTCGTGAAAGTTGGGGCAACGGCTGGGATATCAACGATAGCCGTAATGATAGTTATACATGGAAAACTGTTTTTGTGGTCGGCCGATCAGGCGTGAAAAAGCGCGACGACCTAGTTGATGCTGAGGCAGAACGTTATGGTGATATGATTATTATCAATTTAAAAGAAGGCCATCAAAGTTTAACGGAAAAGACTGTCGCTGGCATGTATTGGGCATACAAATACTGTAGACCAAGATTTTTTTACAAGGGCGATGATGATGTATGGCTCAATAAATGGCGAATGTTTGAGTACATTAACCACATCGATAGAAGTGGATGGAAAGTTGTAAGAAAGCACTGGGTTGGCTATGTAAGTCGTGGTAATCGTAAACCAATTCGAAATAAAAAAAACAAATATTATATTTCACCATTAGATTATAAATGGAAACGATTCCCTCCCTATTGCTCTGGCTTTAGTAATTTAATGTCGGGAATAGCATTGGAGCGAATGGTAGAATCGATTCCATTCATTAAAAAACTTCCGGGAATTGACGATGTATATGTTGGCCTACTAGCTTATCGAGCTGGCATTACACCAATTCATAATCATCGATTTCATTACCATTGGATCTATGTGTATCGTCACAATTTCACATTGCGTCAGATTGATATTACATTGGCAGAGCATGGCGTTGTTACGCCTGAATTACAGTTAAAGTTAACAAAAAATGCTCGTAAAATCTATTTATCAAGACCTAAAAAGAATACTAGGTGAACTGTTTAACCCTAGACGTACTGTACTTATTAATTAAACATGAAAATTAATTTAGATAATATCAAATTTACTATTTAGTGCTCTCTGGAGTATAACTTCAAATATAATCTAAATATATCGTGCTACATAATCAGATCAAGATCAAATTAAAGTGATATCATTTTTATTCCTACAATTAAATAGAGTAAATTGACTATACCTTCAATAACATCCTGAATTGTTGCAGCTAACATAAAATTTTAACAAACATGACAAAAAGGAGAACTATTGTTATTACTAAATTTCTGAAAATAAACGTTCAAATGCATTTTTAGGTTAGATTTGAAAGCTACATTGCTTATACTTCTTGAGTAATACGAGAATCACATACGAGTATAACTTGATACCATACGATATTAAGACAGCTTTACGTTAAGTTACAATAGCAAAGAGAGAGTATAATTTTAAGACTGATATTAACTCATATTAAATCCAAATTAAGCCTATCCTTAACTTAAGCCTTTTCTTTCACTAAATCAATTATAGCAATCTATCAAAAAAAGATTAAAATACTGTATTAAAGCTGCAGCTACAATCGAGTAAATTTACTATACCCTATACACCGATGGGAAGATAACATTTTAAATGTGTAAGGTAATAAGGCACTAAATTCTCTTTGCTGTTGTCTTTGCAATCATTTAAATATCTTCTCTCCTATTGTTATAAATAAATAGTCCTTCTATGCACTTATACTATACAAAGGTGCAATGAAAGAATATTCTTATTTTAATATTTATTTCAATTAAACATTCGGCAAGTTTTACACGCAAGGCAATTTCTGTTCAGGAAGTGATAACTTTACATGTATTCATAACGCGCTACAAGCCTCCAACAACTTGGCTAGCTATGCTATACTTTTAATAACGTAAAGATATAGTGTTAATGTCTTACACCCATTTCTACGGACTCACATTTCCAATATTTCAGTTTACGAAAACAATATAATACATATATATATATACTCCACCTTAATTTTAAACTAAAATGAAATGTTTTCCTACCTTGTAACCGTATAGTAGGCAAATTTCTTATCAATTATTTATTGAATAAGTTCACTTATGGCATTTTTTAGGTCTTGCACTGCTCTCTTGCATTTTGCTAATCACTATGCTACAATAATGAGTTTATACATATTATCATCCTTTATACAGTGTAGCCAAAGTAGCAGCTTTGCAGATTATGTTATAATATGCCATGTCGGGACATATCATTTATCCTAGCAAAATTTACTTAATAAAGCAACATTTTTAATGTTCGTATAACATTGGCATTATATTGATGATGATACATTAAAATCAAACATTCTCATAATACTCTCTGATTACGATAGTATTATAAATAAAAGACAGCAATTTTAGTTATGGAGGAGTATTTTTATAATCATAATGATTCACTTTATAATGCATACTTTTACAGGTATATGTACGTACCACCGTTTAAAACTTACACGAATTACCCGGTAGTAAGATCGTATGATTCTGCACTTTAACAGAGTAGCTATAAAGTAATGCATAATAGTTCTAAATACGATAGAAGACTTATTAACACGAAAACTTGCAATGTTTTAGAATATGTGGTAAAGTAGTTCTATAAATTATACTGGTATTTTCCTATCAAGGAGATGTAATAGCTAGCATAGTACATATGATATATCCTATAATTTGTAATCAGAAATAACTCTATATAAGTGGTACTATTCTTCACACTGGATACGATGCTTATGTAGGCTGTGAAATTAATTTTGACTATAGTAAATATATATCGCTATCTTGCTGAATAAGGTAAAAGAATACTTATATATTTATTGTATAGTGCTGTGTTAATAAATTCATCGCTTATTTTGCTCTTAACTCATGTTACTCATAGCACAGTCTATACATACCCCTTATGTAATTTTAGACAATTTTCAGCATCATAAGTATATATAACATATATTCCAAAGATCTTATTCTGCAAAACTAAAGTATTTGATGAATTATACATCTAAAATATTACTTTAGAACGTAAGTATTATTAGTATCTTGTAGTGAAAGCTAATAAATACTACCGTTAGTTAGGCGCCGGGTATAATTTCTAATATTTATAGCAATTAATATAACTAGGGCAGACAAATTACTAATATATATTATGAATGCAATCGTATTAATGCGAGTAATTTGTCTTAAGTCATGTATATATGCTAGGATATAAATTAAATAGGTAAATATTGTATTCTGAGAGTGTAATTAACTTTTATTGAATTTCTCTAGTAAAGTAAACTAAGAATTTCTGTTAACTGTCAATTAAAATGTCACACAATTACATTTATCACAATCCATTTATGATGAAACAAAACTTTTAGTACGTTTCGGTACAAAATACCAGAATCAATTCTGTATACTGTCAAAATTTTAACAGTTTCATGTAATGTACAGGTTTATATATGGTTACTAATATCATAGTTATATTATTCAAGAACGATCTATCTAAAGTTAGTAGTGTAAATCTATTAGCAGAGGTAATAACTGTATCGTAAAAAGTTGCTTTGCTATGGTATCTGAAGAAGTGCTGTATCAAATACATTATTCGTCTGTTAGAAAGTAAAAAGTAAATTCGGGACTATTTGAGATCGGGGAAACTTTGTTGATATATGAGTAAAGTAATTTGATATCAAAGAATACGATCATGGAAATAAATTTGAGCATTCCTAATGTAGTAAAAATTTTGCACACTGATTTTGTATCAGTCAGTAAATAATAACGACGTAGATATAGTATAGGAACATAATATTATTATTAATATTGCAAAGAATTTCATATTGGATATAATCCGTAAACATGATAACCATTATTTTTAAAAGGTATTATTCACGGGAGCTACTTTCCAAAGAAAGTTTAGTATCGATCAGGTAGAATTTTTTACGAGTAGTTGTAGTATTCAAACAACAAACGGTAGTGAATGAATTACTCTTAGAAAGCTGTATTATATTGACATAAAGAACAAGTAGGGATAATATAAGCTATAAACCATGTAAAATTGATTTAAAAGACAATTGCTAAAAATAAGAATCCATATTGCCAAATCAATTGCTACGGGACAAAATGAAACAAATAGATCTATGATGGTACCTCAGTGCCGAATAATTTCACATCATACCAAGTAAATATTTTAATTGAGGGGTTATTAAATAACTAAATTTATGTCTGAGCAATTTAATTCTTTGTGAAAATTGAATTGATAAAAATACTGAAAATCGTCGAAATAGTCTATATTTTGTCGCTTCATTGTCTTGTTACAGAATTGGGTAAGATAATGACGATAACTGATATTTTTAAACAGAACTTGATCCTTTGCTGTCAAGACGCGATGCTTTGCTAATGCAGACAATATTTCCTGATTTAAGTCTTTAAAATGACTACGCAAATGAAATCGGCCTTCTAGTGAAGGTCTAATACCAGATTTATTAGCGAGTAATCCAACATATACATCATCGACAAGTGGAATCATCTCAACTTCCTTTATCATTCGTGTCATTTCTTGTAGGACATGATTTGATAAGATGTAAGCAAAACCGGAACAGAAGGGTGGAAAAAGATCTTCACTAAAGTCCTGCATCGATAAATAGTACTTGCTATTTTTATTACGAATAGGTTTACGATTATCAACGGCTACAAATCCTCTCCAGAAGCTATTGGTTGGTGCTTCAAATGATCGATTAGCTTGCAAGGCATATATATATAAACGAAATTGATTCACCCACACATCGTCATCTCCTTTATAAAAAAATGTCGGTTGGCAATATAGTTGTGCCCAGAGCATACCTAATACAGTTTTTTCAGTTAAAGATCGACGATTTTCGTCTATAATACCTAGGACTATGTCTTTATGTAATCTAGCCTCTTCATAAACTTGTTCCATAATTTTGTTGTCTTTAACTATACCAACTATAAATACAGTTTTCCATAAAATGGCAGGTAAATTATCAGTTTCATTTTGCGATATAGTAGAGCCCCATGATTTTCGAATACTTTGTCGCCTGTACTTATGCTTTGCGTGACTATTAACTGCTAGAAGAATAAAAGGAGACGATTGACAAGGAGGGGCACTGTGGTAGCGCTCAATTTCAATGGTAGATGAGCCAATCCTTTCGCCACTAAATAAGGATTCTGTATTAACTACCTTAGTTACGTAGTTTCGTCTTTCAGTAGCTGAATTAGAATTACTTAAATATAGATAGCAGCCATAGATTGTGATAAATATCAGTATCAATGAAATAAATTTTCGTCTTAGAGTTTTAGCCATCGCTTATATTCGAATACTACCGGTACCTAAGAACTACTTTCGTATCAATAAAAAAGAGAAAGTTTAGGTTTCTATGTAGACTGCTTAATCGTAAATAATTTTAAAACTATTATAACTAATTTCTATCCAACGCCAAATGCATGTACCCATTCGTAAATTATTTATCTATATACATTAATAGGAAAGTTCTCTTTGATTGTTAAAAATTTCTTTTAGTAGATTTTGCTATTAATATTTTTATTTATTTACCCTATATACTATCGTCATAGAATCAGCCGCACTTCATATAGAGCAAACTGGGTTAAGTGAAATAATCTCATCGAACTCTATCACTCAATACAGCAAATTATCAGCATACACGTTTATTGTGCAACAAACATGTTTGCTGTATCAATTTATCCTAGTTCACTACAGTACATAATATGTGTAACATTGATGATGATTTAATACAAGTAACTCGATTCTAAATGTAGTAGATAAATAGGTATTACTTTAATGATACGGGCATGTTATACGAGATAATGATAACAACTTTGTACTAGTGCTATCTATCATAATCTAGATACAGCTGCATCTACGATATGTAAAATGTTTCAAATAAACACTAGATATCCCGTAATATAGTATACTCGTGTACAATATAAGCTTCAGATACAAGCATATACATTAATATTACGACTTTGTGGATTAACTTACGCATTTGAATAACTAACTGAATAATTAACTGTCTAAGTTGTCTTTCTTCGGAACCATTGCTTAAATTTTAACAGTTCTGGCAGCCATTATAGCTGAATCATGAGAATTAAACAAAGATAAAGAAAATGTATTGGGGCGTTTTACAAGATGGTAAACATCTAATATAGTCAATTATATTTTTGCAACTCAAGTAGACAAGGAATGATTAATTTATTTTGTAGTTATGCTTTATGAATACTTACTCTATTTATTACTACGCGATATAAATACAGATGAACTATTCCCATCGATTACACAAATGAGTCCTTCTGTATACATAACGCGTATTTTTTTACGCTCATATAGTATGATTAGTTTAAATGAGCAAGAGACGACTATAACTACAGTAATAAAAAGTTACAGAAATGCAGGTTATAGTTCTTCCGATGATATTTTTTATAGTAAAACTTTACCTAGTTTGTAGATATTTGACAGAAGTATTTGTACAGAGAAGATACACTCTATCTACGATTCAATTAACCTAGAAGTTTAGGGTTAAATCTCCTTTTACCTATTATTTTCGCATGATGGTATGATAAGGATCGTAGAGCTATCTACCAATTCTTCACGGGCAATGTCTGGGCACTAGACTGATCGACCAGAAGTAATGAAGATTCCCGTAGTTAATAATTTGATTGAATTGAAAATTAAAATTGACAGCTAATCTAATTGAGTCAAGTGCAGACTTACAGCATGTAGTAGTGAGCGTCTATTTATATACTCTACGGTAGCTGTAAACCCCACTTCTATTATAGGTTGTTCTATTCCCTGTATGGGCGGTCATATTCATAGTCAAAGGACTACTTCTTAATAAAGGGGAGCATTTTTATTAACAGGATAGGTATCTCTAAAATTCTATATGGTCTCTACAGTAGTACTACATATACCATCGGTACTATAGTTACTTATTAGGTAAGATCGATACTGTACAATGCATTATTAATGGCACTATTTTGACAGTGTACTATTAATAACTTATGGACAATTGCACATAGGTTAATTTTTTTGTAGTAGTACATATGGCGTGGTGTTACCTACTATAATAGGCACAGTAATAATGAATGCATAAATTATGCGGTATAACAAGTCATCGACAAGCGCCAAAAAGAGAAGTGGGTCCTACAGTCAACATAAGGATACAGCTACGAGTAAATATATCGAACTACAAGTTTTTACTGATATTTGTTAATGCCAGAGATAGTCAATACATTTAATCGAGAAGAATAAGATGTCGATACAACGATGAGGTTGAGATTCTATAGCGGCACTAAAAATTCAAATCCATCAAAGGAAATTATTGTAACAGTACCAATATATCGTCTACTATCTTGGATCGTTTAAAATAAGCTTACTGTTATACTGCAGGTAATTTGCTAATATTTATATATTATTTATGCAGAAAGATAAAAGCAATAGGGCCGATATAATGTTCTACTCTTAATAGTAATCGATAAATTTTTTATAGTTTACTGGTCTTGTAATTTAGTTGGTACTATAATCTAAGCCATGTAAAAGTATCGATTGAAAATAATATCACTATATTTATTATCCATTCACTTCGTTTAGCCTGGATAGATTGGCCTCCTGCGTCTAGTTCTTTCATACGTAGAAGAAAGTGCTATCTCGAATACAGATATACAATAATGTATGACTCATAAAATAATACTAACATGCACCTAACGGAAAAGATTTAGAAAATGTCTTTGGCTTGTGGCCTACGTCGAAATCGAGAAGTAATTGCTGCTGTAATTGTACTCGCCTTCATCACTACAGCATGGTTCATTTTAGTAACCTTAAATACACAACCAAGTATATTGCCATCGTACCAAAAGCAATGTCCAAGTCAGCCTAGTCGACAAGAATCGACTTCTATCGCTAGTGTTAATGATTATACTACTGTTGCCATAAACGAAACATTCGATAATGAGCAAAATTTCATCACGTTGGAATCTCACGAGGACACTATCAAGTGGATTGGCAATCATTATGTCGCCAAGTATGATCGAAAACTAAGTGTGAAATCTTGCAAGCATCCTCCCTTGTTAGTATTGGCTATTAATAGTGCTGCTAATCATTTCAATCGACGTAGTGGTATTCGCAAAACTTGGGGCAATCCTACGGAATTCAATATACGCTTTGAGAGTAAAAACTTATGGAAGGTTATTTTCATTGTTGGACGTACAGGATCCAAAGTCATCGATGAACGAGTCGATAAAGAAGCTAAAAATCATGGCGATTTATTAATGATTAACTTGAAAGAGCATCACAAGTCTTTAACCGATAAAACTTTATTGGGTATGTATTGGGCTAGTCAAATTTGTCGGAGTCAATTTTATTATAAAGGGGATGATGATGTCTGGGTCAATAAATGGAGACTATTTGACTTGATAATCAAGTTAAACGTGCGAATTGAGTCAAATATCGATCTGAGTTCTTGTTGGATTGGTTTTGTCTCTTCAATTAATCATGTACCAATCCGTAATAAAAAGAGTAAATATTACGTTTCCTACGAAGATTTTAATGGTGAGCGATTTCCTCGATTCTGTTCTGGATTTGGTTATTTTATGTCAAGAGAAACTGCTAGTAAGGTTATTACATCTGTTCCATATGTTAAAAAAATCCCTGGTATTGACGATGTCTATATCGGACTTTTAGCTAATAATACAGGAATTCAACCTATTCATAATCCAAGATTTCATATTCGTACCTATGATGTTAATAAGCTCATTTATAATGGAAAAATATTGTACGAAACTATTGCTGAACATGGTGTACATAATTCTCAATTGATGATTAAATTTCAACAAATGGCGAGAAGGAGACATATAGCATTTATGAAGGACGATAAAAGATGAAGCTGTGTTACAACAAATATCATGTCTTACTATCATTCTACATATTCTTGGAAAGAGTTCTTAACAAACTTAACGGTGTAAATATTCTAGTATATAGATAAATATTTTAATATCTCGTTAATGTCGAAAACTTGAGTACAGCAAATATTGTGTTATAACTATTTCACTTTTCCTAAGGTTGCCTATTTATTTTGAAACACTTGTACATGATACTTAGGTTACTGAATTTATTACGAGTGTTTCTTAACTGATTCTGTACCTTTGAGTTTTAAGAATACTACAACAGATGATGATAGAATTAATATAAAATTCTTACATGTTTTACGTGCTGTATTTCTATCTACATTATTATCATAGTAAATGAGTGTCTGCTTAGTGAAAGCTAAGTATTTATTTGGCTTCAATTAATAGAATGTCCATTTTTTTTCTTTTCTTCGTATAAATAAGACCAGATATTCTTAGTATTAGATTCTATTCTACAACGTTTTTTATATCCTTAGATATTTGCGAATACCCTTATTACACGCTTCGATGGTTGCATTCTCGATAAATCCTTGCATATTTTTTACATATGCAGATCCAGGTTCGTAACTTGCCACCATCGTAAACGTGTATCTAATGTAAATTAAACAGCTAACCATCGACTCCATTGATTATATATATTGCTATTGAAATTACTCGAGTGTTTGCTAAATAAACAAAATTGGAAGCAAATTTTAAACAGTATCATAACCCGAGATGCCCAGATAACTTTTTTGCCTTCGTGATTATAACATTACCACAAAATTACGTAATAAATAAATTTTTTAACCGTAAGAAGTTAAATTCATGATGTGTTTATACATTGCGCATTAAAATTTAAAATTTATTGCAGGTTGACGAAGAACTACCCAAGTCAATATAAGCGAAAAAAAATTATAGCTTACCTTTGAAAATAAATTCAAATTTATCTTGATATAAAGGCAGTTGTGATATCATAAGGCTAAGTGGTTCTTAGGTATCAAGTTATTGACGAGCGAAGCTAAATTCTAAGATGCGTTTAATGTCTAGAGAGTATAAAATATAAATCAATCACGTACGAAAGAAAAAAATAGCTATCACAGACACCAAAATAACTTAGATATGGAAGTGTAGTTTATAATGACATTTTGTTTTGAACTTTTTAGGAGTATGAGCGACTACTTTAGGAATTGTTATTGTTAGTAATAACCTAAGTTATTATGATATTATCATAATATCGCAATATGTTACAAGTATGTATCGGGAACATACTGTAGCAGCTTGACAGGGCTTACAGTCGAAGTAGATTTATGTATGAAATTGTTTATTACCTCGAATGTCCATATTTGATAATTCAATCGTAATAACATGTTTGTTATTGAAATGTATTAATAGCATAGTAAATATGTTTATTACTACTGAAAGAGTATATAAGAAGGACTGTGATCAATAAAAAGTGATCCAGGTTAAGGTTAAGTTGTGTGATAGCTTTATATCGTATATTGTGTTGAGCGAGTTAGTACTTCGCAAGGATTCCAGCTACAATACCGTAGGCTAGGGAAGTAGTTCTACGGATTAAAGTAAAGTTTATTAAAAGTACCGTGTCGTTTTCTTATGTCGCAAGAGTAGTTGTGGCAATAGCTTACAGATATTGAAAATTGAAAATTACACAAATATTATAAAATATCGACGATACTTTTGCGTTCAAATGCAAAAAGGGTGGCGAGGAAGTATGACAGATTTTTCAAACCGGTGTACTCCTATTTTGGATATTAACCAGTCTGAATTACTATACACATTAGAAGGCTCTACTGATCTTCAACTAAATTTTTGCATAGTACGAATATCGCAATACTTGCGATCTCTTGCTAAGAAATTTAATTATTCGTCAGTAATTTTAAGAATATAAAATAAATGGCCTAAAATTTCATGTTTAATCCCATAATAACGCTGTTATTTTTACCCAAGGAAATTGAACGACGCGATGTTTTGTTTCTTGAGAAAAGCAGATAATGTCGTTTCAAAGTAACTATACTATTTCACTTATCAGGCAAAAAGCTGTTACCATACAGTAATCTAAGCTTAATTGGCGGATGTAAAAATTATTTTCTATAGGCATAAAACAATAAACAGTTTCCTTGGTGCTGTATTAATAGTCAATTCTTTACAAAATTTACTAATATATTTTGTAATACAGCTATCTTATACACTTTAATGGACTGTATAATATTATGAAAGTAAAGGTAGCACTCAAGAGGTGTTCAAAACATAGGTAACTTACAGTCACAGTAGGGCTTACTCCTGTATATATCAAAAATAAAATACGAAGAACTTGATTTCATAGTAGGTTTATATTCTCAAAGCACACTTTTCAGTCTATATTTATGTAGGGCATATCCGTTTCGAAAGATGAATTCGAAAACAAAAGGTACTAGCCATAATAGATTGGAGAAGAATAGATTTTACTGAAATTATCAAAACTACATTTTTACTACAATTATATAAGTTATCTTTATTGGACATATAAATGTAGTTAGAAGAAAGTAGAAGGAAGCGATTGTCTTAACTTATCGTTCAACCTAAATTCAATTTAGCACATTTTTTATAAACGTATTCTAAGCTATCTCCCTGAAAAAGCTATAAAGAAAAGTAGTCATATCGTAGAATAAGGGATTCTTCTTATGTTTCAAGTTGCCTTTGATATTGTAAGAATAGAATTTATAAATAGTATAAGGGATAAGAATTACTTTAATATGAAAAGGAAATATCTTAGCAAGGTGCATAGTATAGGTATATTGTATGAACAAAAGAACACATTAGTATTAACGTATACGATGTAGAAAAAAGTCCATATAAATATTTTATATAACTGATATAAAATTATAACATGAAATGTCCAAAGTACAGTTACGAGAAAGGGAAACAGCTCTTGTTACATATAAGTCTTAAATGTTTAAGAAAGTAACTTAATCAATCTAATGAAAAGGCTTATACGGTAGAACAGCCATAATATCATAGAGCAAGAATACAGTTTTACTATGTTAAAATAAAGAGTAAAAGGTAATAAATTGAAGCAGGTTTCTCGCTAGCTTGTTTCATTAATGGAGTATATAACATATTTATTACAGAAATATTCTATAAATTACGTCTGTTTTATTGCTGAAATGAGTTTTACCTGTGTTGTTGGCTAAATATCAAATTAGAATGTTTTATAGAAGCAAATATTATTGCCAATGATCGTCTGCTTTATTGTCAGACTTCGCAAATAATGCTTGGAAAATTTTACCCTGCTTTTTTTAATTTACTCTTGCTTATCATGTCAGTAGCAGATGATGAAGAACCGGTTTAAGGTATAGATTTCACGGATGACTAATTTAACTCAATTACTTCAAATTTTTTATTCTTTATTTACTACCAGCACTGTAACATTCAAATTTGAATAAATAAATGTCAAAACAGTAAGCTTGATGATCTTTGGCTTTAACATAGAAATAATTGTGATCTTGACAATATTACGTCTTTTTCTTTCTTCGTAAAAATCACAGTGTTAATCTCATCCGCGATAGAATTCTTTAAATGTTTCAAATTTATTCTTCTAATACATTGTATTCTCATTTAAGAATCGAATTTCAATCAAGTTCAAGATTATTACTAGACATCGAGAACACTTTTTCATTGGTAATAATTCTAAAACAACTATTAATTATTTTTCCATTACAATGAATGAATGGCTATAAGAATAGAATAGGTACAAAATAACTGTGCATTCCTGCTAAAAAACTCTCACATTATTAAAGATGATCATCCTTGGCCTAATTATAAGATAGATAGCTGTAAATGTTTCTAAATTGCAATTAATAACTATAGGAAATAAATCTTAAGCTTGTGACGTCATTTTTAAGGATTGTCAATGGTTAAGGATGATCCTGTTTGATTATTTATTGTATCAATAGAAGGGAGAAAAACTTTTGACAGTTTCATCTAAAATTTAAAACCAGAAATCTTTAATTTAAAATAGTGAAATATAATGAGTTAAACAGCATAGTATAACTATTACAGTTATACTCTCCTATATAACCAATTTATCTGTTTAAATAGAGTTAAGCTATTTTTCAGATATTTATATCGTTAATGAAAATAATTGCTATGCTCTCTTTAATAGTAGGATCCAAATTATACCAGTTCATTGGTAAATTGATAAAATACTAGTTGAATGTCTGGACTATTGTAGGTTACTCCAGCTTGTGTTATTATCATTATTAGTTCGTTTAAGATATTTTTTCTTTCTTGAATTAGATACTACTGTCTAAAATATATTATATAAATTCTAATAAACCAGTGCAATAAGCATATTTATTCAAATCTATTGTGAGAATATCAAAAAATCTGTGAATAGTTGCCACTGTGCCACTGTCCTAAATAAGTTATATTAATAAAGTTGAGTAGTGTACGTTCCTATTTTACTCTATTTTCATAATTATGACAAGCGGATTGCTAGCCTATTGGTATGAAGTAATAGATTATTACGATCGGTAGTTTCTAGAATGATATCATGAAAATGCAAAACATGATAGCCTGCGTCATTAAATTGAAATCAGCAGAGTAAGGATTATAGTTTTAGAAATGATGGAAATCTATTTATAAACCGATTAAGCATAATTATAAGCCTCGATGTTTTTAATTTATATCTACACTATAATTATAAACTGCAATAAAATCTTCAAAAAAAACCGTAGCGAAGGTAAGCGGATATCGTAAATTAATAAATTGGCTTGATAGATAAAAATATT